ATCAGGAAATATCTCGCAAATCGCCGATCTTTCAACGTGGCTTGATCGCTGAGTTCTAAAGCAGTTGTTGTACAGTGAAAGGTATATCGGTGTTGGTATACAAACGGTTAAAAAGTCCACTAAAACCAGTGACATCAACAAAACGTTTATGCTCGTTCGACCAAATCGTGTGCGAAGCTTCACGTAACACACCACACATGGAAAATATTCAGGAAAAAGCCAAAAGCTCCTGTCACTAGCAAGTACAAATTCATAGAGCTTAGGAAGTAGAATTTCATTTCTTTTTAGGGGAGTCGTCGTGGTGATTTTCTATATGAGCCATTCTGATCACGTACAATTGTAGTGGCTATCGATCCTTCTTTATCGTTTGGTCTCCACAGCAGAATATCGACTCGTGCGGTTTTGATGTCGCGCCAGATATGAGTCATTCATCGGGTAAACAAAGGATCAATTAAATCACTTGAGGCCAGAGACACTTAAAATACATCTTTTAAATGCCATTTTGAACAGTGGTTTTAAATGTAAACAAACTTCTCGACAGGGTCCCACAACTTAAAGTCTCGAGCGGAAATGTTTAAGAGAGGAGAGGTTAAAAACAATTAATATGAAGAATGCAAAAGGAAAGGTGCATGGGTGGCCCTAATTATACGAAATATTTTCCGCACAATAATTTTATAGTCATGAAAAAAAGCCTTCCGTTTCGGACTTCTTTCGTGGCTCATAATTTTGCCATCTTCTCGTTTTAAGGAACTTGTAGAGGCTTGCTAAAATGTTCTGATTAGTTTCAACGATTTCTGATCTGCAAGCTTTGTTTGTTTGTTTACTCTTCTCTAACAGGTCTAAAAAGAGCAAGAATTGAACCGATAAAAGATAAACCAGCCAGACGAGGGTTTTTTATGCTAACAAATTAGGCAAATCTTTATCCACAAAGCTTGCATGGAACTCACAGCAACAATGATATTTTGCTTTGGAGACTCCCTTGTCATAAGGTCTTACCATAACATTGAAGATTTGAGTATACTTATGTTCTGCAGTAGACGTTTACCTTAACAACTGATGTCACTTTGACACAGGGTCTTTTAGCTTTCCACAACTACATATTTTACCTTCAAAAAATAAACGTCCTTCTACTTATAGATAAACACCTTAAAAAGTCGCAAAAAATGCTATGTGGGTAGCCATAGAATAGTAATGTGGAAATTCTAGGACGAACCTACTTCATCCAAGAAATTGTAATGGACGGAATAGAAACTCGCAATACCAACTGAACAAGGATGGATGGGGTAAGGGGTAGGGGGGTAGGGGCCCTATTTGACCAAGTAGGGAACAGCCACGAGTGATGCTATGGGGCTCTGTGTTGTTTGTTTGTTTCCTTCCGTTCTTGTGCAGCTTTATCTTCCTTCAGTATGTTTGTTTGTTTTTGTGATGTTTTGCATTTTGTTTGTAGGTTTGTTTCTTTTTTTAGAAGGCCTTCTTTTTTTTTTTATCAAGGTTTCTTTACTTGCCCTTGTGCCGCTTTATTTAGTATTACGATTCTAGCTTGCTTGTCTGAGTTAAGAGGTTAGACTTTTTCAAAGTCTCTTTCGATAGCTGAGTTCGGCACTAACTTTCCACTAGCTTTTAGGACGAGTAAGTATTACTTGAATCGGTTTTTGAACTTAGTACCCCAAACACAAGGTTGATATTGCTAACGGAAAGATTCCCTGAAAAGGTAGAAGATGTAAATTCCCTACGCTTTGCTTAAATGTGACCTGATAACTAGACTAGACGAAACCAGACCCCCTCCTTCCGACTCTTCGGGTCCAAGATGCTTGCTTACCCCTACCCTCCTCCCTGAAGTAAAAAAAAAAGGGCACAAAGTTACAAAAAGGGTTTTTACCCGAAGAGAAGAACATGACAGGCACAGAAGGCGGATTGTAACGTTACATATTTTCATCTTTTTTTTAATTTAGAAAAACTAGTTTTAACTATAATACAAGAGGAGCCGACTCCGTTTGGTAACAGAATGTTAATATGAGCTGCTGCAGTTTTCATTCAGTGACGATCAGACACGTAAAGTCTTTAAGACCTAGATAATAGCTGTTTTTACTCATCAGACTAAAATGGTTGATTAATGAAGGTCCTATGAGAGTTCGTTTCAAACTTTACATAATCATGGTTCTCGGTGAGAGAAAATGCATATATCACAAAATAGTTCAAAAAATTGCTGAACTAGACAATCACTGTTATGGCAATCGCCAAAGCCTCCTTCATTAATTGTTGAGAAGTTGGTACTGAAGAAGGACCAAGTGAAGGAACTATCTGCAGTCCTGAATGATGCGCATTGTTCACAATACAGTAAAACCAACCAACTAGCTGATGTTAATATACAAACTGCTAGAATCTGCAACAAAGTTAATCATTAATAAACTGATGAGAAATAAGTACATTTATAACTACTCAAGTCTTCTTTGCTTTCAATTAATAATACGTCAGGCCTGTTGCTATAAGCCATTTCTATTCTACAGAGCCACTAATGTCTACCGCGGTTTACCTAGCAAAACAGCAGAGGGTAAATTTTTCATGAGCCTTCATAAGAATGGCTTTTCTCCTGGGTAAACAAGATGGCACCGGAAACTGAATCGTGACTAATACCTGTTTCGATACTTCTGGTTAATGAAAGGAAAAAAATGAACGAAACCCTATAGCTTAGTACCGAAATAATTAAAAACCCATGCCTTTGCAAATAGGCTGTCTCTAAACTGCTTATTCGTGCTACTTCTCATTTTGAATGAAACTTCCCAATCTCAATTTTCATAGCATTTAGCTACAAGACACCCTACAAAAAAAAAACTCAACACTAGTTCATCCTTTTATCTTTTGAATAATGATTTTACCGATACATAGTACCCTACGGTTATGCCAAATAAAAAGCACTAAAAAAATGATTATTCTGCTTCAGTATAGATTAATGATTGATATAAATTACGCCTATTTCAAAATACACTTTAGATTTAACATCTACGACGAGTTACTGGTTGATGAAACAGGACGCTCTCTCTTGAGTCATTTTCCTTGCACCAGATGTTTCATCTTAAGCCTGTTAAATGAAGTAAATTGGTGAAGTAAACCAGGTAAACTTGACATGTGAAGATATACTACTTATGTTCTTGCTATTTTCCTAACGATTTTGTTTCTGATATTTTTTCACTGACGTTAAATTAACAAATACGTTAGGAACATTTCGAGAATTTAACAAATCAATTTAATCTGGCTCTAGTGATCCTTTTACACGACCGCGTTGTATTCAATTTCGTCATCAGAACGACTGTACGATGAAATAGTAGACGTTATGCGTAGAATATAATTAACCGTAACCGTGGCCCGAAACCTAAGAATTTACAGTGATTGTATTAAAAACCAATGATCTTGTGATTTCAAGAAATAGAATTAGGCCTCTAAAGTCCTCCTAAATTGATCAGCCATATTTTACAAGTGGTCCACCATCTATAATAAAATGCACGTTCTCCCCAGACTCTCAAAGCCGTGTTTACCGAAACCTCCGTGTCAAAACCCCACATTTCTCATTCCTATGCCTCGCCTATTTACGAGAAAACAAGAGTCGTAAAATTTAATTGCTTGAAAGGTATATATTTGCTTCACCCATGGTAACTATTCAAACGTAGTAGCCTCTTGAAATTTCATAAAGCTTTTTGAAAGCGCACTTTTATGGTATAAAAATAAGAATAACTCCCAAAACGTGATTTTAGTCATGGCCGTTAAGTTAAAATGATTTAAGGCAGGGCGTGAAATTGCGCCTAATACAGGCGCCAATGCGACTAAATTTTTCACTTTGGCGACTAGAACGTTTCATCATAACCTTACCAAGAGATATAGTGAATTAAAAAGATTTGCAAAGATAAATCCGCGGCAAACTTCCTCGTTAAGTTTGTTTCCAAAACGTAGCACATGCATCTCGATCGATAACTAGACGCCATCTTGGATTTAGATGAGCCTGAACGTTGTTTATTATCCATCCTAGTGTCCACTTTGTAGCACGTTAAAGATCTTTTCCCTAACTTAATTTTGGAGGGTCTATCTAGAACGCTGACAGCGTAAAGAAAGATTTTGTTTGTCTCTGAAAATGGCGACCAACTTTTTTTGAATTGGCTACCACTTTGAAGAATTCAGTTAGGAGCCAGGTGGCTATCAGAAAAAAAAATAATTTCACGCCCTGTAAGGATCAAATAAATGAAGACATTTTATCTTTTTATTTCTGTTGGCTTAATTTCACTCCAAATCTCATCGCATGGCAAGCTACATAATTTCTCTGAAGCAAATTTGTAAATAATGATGCCTATATTTATACAAAACATGTCAATTGTGTAGAATGCTCATTTACCTGCAGGAAAGAGGTCACATTGATATCCCCCTTTCTCTAATACCGGCGGTTCTTTAATACCTCGTCAATCTTGGGTTTTACTCGTGTGACAATTTCTGTGGCAAGATGCAACGATTCCCGAGCTTGCTGGGACGAATAAACCTCATGGGGGATTTGGGGACAAGTAAAACAATCTGGATAACGCATTCGTGCAGAGCCACCAACGAGTCCCTCTAACTGGCTTGCAAAGTTGGCCAGCTCAGCGTCATTTAAGCCGTTACAAATCCTATTTAGGTTGTGATCATCTGTCTTTTCAGCATGTAATGTATACTGAGCCGCCTTCAATGCCTTCTCTGCTGCCTGCGTTAAACAAATGGCATTACAAGCTTCAGCGGAAGAAATAGGCATAATGTATCTCAATAAGTTACCCACGAAACAAAGCTGTTATAACACCCTTGTAAAACTGATTTACCGAGTAACTTACTGAAATAAACTGTTTTAGGACCTCACTGGGTGATTCTAATGGCACTTAAATCCACGAAACAAAAACAAATTTGCTAAAGAATGGATACCTCTTATTGATTTTTGCTTCTTGGACGACTGGATTATTTCATTCCGTTTTCCTTAATATCTAAGCATTTTAGGTTCTTACGATTTTACTAAGCGACGATAATTTTACCTGATGGCATTTAAAGCATACCCACTCATAGGAGGGCTTGCCGGAGTCAATTTCATTTCCCCCAGCCTCCAGGTCAGCTTTGGCTTGTTTGTACCAGCGCTCGGCTTCTCCAGGTTGAGGATTGCTACTTGAAAAACTAGGAGGGACATTTCGCCATGGCTCGTGGTCTTGGGATGTATACCATTGTAACACTTTTTCTTGGTATTCTTCACGACGTGATCTGTGTTCCTCAGCAATCTCCACACAAGCGTCGATAAATTCTTCGTGCGATCCACCTAGACGGAAAAGTTCGTCCTTTATATGTTTAGAAACTTCAAAGCAGAACTCTTCATCTCCTATATTCTTCTCCGGACGCCACTGAAGAATGACCCGCTTGACAATTTGTCTTCTTTCACCCTCTGATAAATCACATTTCCATGCATTTTCCAAAATGGTCGAGATTTGAAGGAGGACCTCTTCCCCATCTTCCCTATTTCTGCGTTGCGCATTAGATATTTCTTCAAAACGGCAAAATTTGTACAGTTTGGCTGCAGTCACCTCCACCGGCTCGTGGTCATGTCCAATGTTCACGGAGTACACCTTGGTAACGAGATGCAGAACCCAGTCTTCGTTGCAGCCAACATCCTGGGCCATAACCTCTTCGATAATCACGGCGTAGATGAACGTAGCAACGCCTCTGTCTAGCTGAAGACTCGGGTCGTGAAGCTGATAACCGACATATTCCCCAGGTTCAAAATCGCCAAAAGCGTCATTCAGTAGATGATGGTCCTCAACTGGAATGAAACTTCCCGGGTCAGGAAAGATATCCATACCATCTAAACTGCAGGTGTCGTCTTGTCGAATGTCCGATTTATCGAGCAGAGACCAGATTTCATTAGGAGCGCACTGCAACATACTAGGGATTAAGTAAGCGCTCTTTCCAAGAAAGTCACCATACATTTCTATAACAACGGCCGAAAGCAAAGACCTGGCCAAATCGGTATCGTTAGTCGCATTTACCACGTTAACGTACACCATGCATTTCTCCTCACCGTGTATCTCACATTTCTCTTGGAATGACTTGGTATCTCTTTCGCTTCCTGGGATTAGGTTGTCATTTAAGAAAAGGGCCGTTTTAAGACTATCCACGGCGCACAGCTGAATTCTTTTGAGACTCTTTTCGATATCAGCTATAACTTCTTCATCGAAATCCGACTTTTGAGAGTTGTCGTGCTTGATGATCCTAGCGATTCCCTGACCAAAGTGTGGGGTGCAAAGTCGCAGCATCATTAAATCGAAAACTGAGCTTTTCACGAAGACACCATTAATGAGCTTTTCTCTCACTTCAAGTGAGAGCATCTTTGGCTGTAATTGTAAAGGCAGTTTCATCATCAGCTCTTTGAAGTTGGTCATGGTTAGTGTTACTCTAACCTCCATAAGCTTAAGATCAAGTAAAAAATGTTGGTGGAGCTCTTTGATTCGATCCTCGTAGGCAGGTACATCATTGAATACCAACTCAGAGGACTTGTGTAACGTGACGGAAATTGTGTTTAAATTTTTTTTCAAGCAGCGGATTCCTGAGGGCGTTGCTGGTAGGTACAACGTGGACAATGAGGACAAGGTGGAAGCTTCTTCGGACTTCTCCTGTAACGTCTCAAAGAATCCCTTTACCGCCTTGAAGCACATTTTCAGCTCATTGGGATGTAATTTTGCGTCACCACAATTCTTTTGCAAGTTCCTCAATACCACAGCATAATGGGCACATGTAACAAACTCATCACATCCCAAGGTTTGAAACAATTTTCGGAATTTCCCAAGCTCAGGAGGAACCCTATAAAGGAAAGGTTTAATTTCGTCTTTCACCCGAAGTTCGAGAACCGCTTTACCAGGCCTGACGAACCTCGTTCCATTTTCAACCAAAATGCAGGGTGTAACTTCGAGGACGATTGTACCCCTTTCGTCTGCATTATCTTGTAAGAACTTGTAAATTTGTTCCATGACGTTCGTAATCTGGCAACGATGTTCAGATAAGTCAAGCTTGCATTTTCGGAGGTTTTCCAGGTGATGGCATAAGACTTCGCAATGCCGAACAACTATGTCTATTGGCGGCTTCTTAGGTATTTGAAGTTGCGAAACAAAAGCATCACAGTATTTGTAGGCAGAAGCGAGAGGGGGTCGACCAAGTTGATACCGACGGAACTCCGGATTCGCCCAGGTTGGAAGCAAGTGGGCTTGAGTCCAAACGATTTCTTCATAGTTAGCAAAAACTGCTCCTTTGAACGGAATGTAAGGAACTTGATCCCCTTGCTTTTGCTTAAAAGGTGGACATAACTGTTGTAGTTGATGAGCTACAGGATCAGCGACGACAAAGGCGATATCGCGGATGGCGTTCAACAAGCCCTCACCAACTACATCATGTCGAGAGATGAGATGGTCAACCAGAGTTCTAGACTTCTCGTGAGTTTTCTCCGTTTGCGCTGTAAGTGCTTCATGCTCCACTTCCTTTGCAAATCTCTTAAAATCAACCGAAGATACCTCAGAGACCAAGCCTACTTGTCGTAGAAACGAAATCCATTCGGGAGAGTCCAACGGTTCTGGTGGGAAATCGCATGAAAGCATGACCTTGAAAACATCGTTATTGGGATCGTATACACAGGATGCCTTCTTCAAGGTACCATTCTTTGAGGGAATCAGAGGCGTACATTTCAAGATTTCGAGTAACCTTTCTTTTTCTTCATCACCTTCAGTGGTATCTGTCAAAATGATGTCACGAATATATTCTAGGTGAACTTGTCTTGCCTCCTCACTTAGAAGATTAAAACTTGGCAAAATCGAGTCACAGTACACGTCAACAGCAGAGATGCACGTAAGCTCCAAGAATCTAAACAAATCGGTGACATTTTCCCATGATTTCACAAATGCCATCCCCAATGCACTCTCTAGAACATCAATTTCGTTTTGTGGTACCCCAGCTGGTAAGACAGACACCTTGACTTTTTCGAGTGACATGAAGCCACCGTTTGTTGCAAGGTAAAAGGGAAGCTTCCTAAGATTGATTTGGTCACTTTCTCGAAGGCAGCTTACACTTGAACAGAAGTACTCCAAGATCTCTTTACAGTCGGATTCCTCTAATCTTTCTTTTATTTCTTGTTGGTTTAAGATCAATTTTTGTTGAAGTGATACAAGAAGCGACGAGGGATCCTTTAGAGAAGATACCAGCATAAGAGCTACAGCCAGCGAGGTCGATGATGAATACATGATGGTTGCCGAAATGGTATGTGAAAGAGCTCTCTGGTTAAGCTCAGGGATACCAAGTTTACGCAAAACCTTTACCAGTTTTGCACTTGCTGCATCGACGTTTGCCATGTCAATCGCTCCCTGTGCTCCCCTTAATGGCACAAGAAAGTGATCAACTTGACGACGGACTCCAAAGCTTCTTATTTGAGTAACGGGAAGAATACTCCAGTCGAGGAGGGGATGGATGATGGCCTTAACCTGACGAACTTTGCCTTCATCGTCAATTTCTTTGTCATTTATTACATCTCGTGAAATATCATAAAGGAATTCCCAAACCTTACATATCCATCGTTGGTTTGGTACTCCTTTCTGAGCTGGAGACCACTGAACATAACTGGATTTTCCATAAATTTCCCTTGGCAATGTTTGAGCCAAATTGGTGGCAAATGCATCAGCATCCAACGGTTTTAAGACCGTCAACTTTGAAGTGTCAGAGGTGCAAAACAATTTCCAGTATATTTCTTCGTGTAGGAAAATTTGGGGAGATCCAGGAAGAAGGTCTTTAAATCGTGACAGAAACTTGGGGTATACGTTTGAAAATGACTGAAGACAATTGTCTTGCGTAAGTAGAAGTGGAAGGCCTGGAAGCTTCTCGAGAAAATCATCGGCCTCTTTACAGAACGATAGCACGAGTTTCACTCCATATTCATCTTCAAACACTGTCTTGCTTACATTACAAGGAATGGGTCCAATGGTGCATAAGGGGTCGTGAGAACCAAACGTTCCGTAAAACTCTAACAGATCACCAGCAGAGATACAAGACGTAACAACACCAGATCGCTGAAATGAATCGTGCGTTTTCATGGAAAAGGCAACAAGGTTGAAACCACTTCTTAGCAACATTCTCTCAAATTTCTGTCTTCGTTTATTTACGGCCTCCTCCATATCCTTCTCAGGTATCTTCGCGAAGGGACCAGCATCTGCAAGATTGTTAAAGAACACCTTTTGTTTTCCCACACCGGTGGGCGGAAGCCACGTGACATCGACGGAGGATCTACCCCTTTGAGCGGAGTGTCGAACGACTGGTAGAAGATTTAACTTCCTGTTATCCATTTCTCGATATACAGAATCAACCAGCGTTTCCCAGTAGTGATCTGTCGTCAGTTCCTGGGGGAAAAGGCTCTCCAAAATACGTATCTTTCCCAAAACCTTATTTTCAGTGGAGCGTTTTGGACCAAAGCCGAGTAACTTCTTCACCTCAACCAGCATGTCAATGTAACAGGAGGCCACCACATCTTCCAATAGGGCATTGTTCCATTCGCTCCGATATCCAACATGTCCAGCTTCGTCTCTCCACAGGTTTCTTCTTGACTCGTGGTCCAACGCAAAATGGCCATTGATGTGAACTGGAAGATTTGTTTCAAGCGGAAGGGGCAAAAAGCAGAAAGCCTTATTTCGCCTTTGTACAGGAAACTCCAGGTATTCTTTTTCCAACAGACATGCAACGCCACCGCGAGGAAGCATCCCGAGTTTCTGTTTCTTAAAGGCTTCAACAATGGTGCTTTTAACATCTCCCTGAAAACCAACTTGTTGGGCAATTAGCCACTTTTCTTCCTTTCCGCAGTTATCAGTGATCTTCAGCATGTAGGAAACTTTAACAAAAGGTCTGTCAGTCCGGAGAATTTGTCCCTGCTTTACTAGGTTTCCAAACTCTTTGATGACTGTGGCAAACTATTTTCTCTTTTCTTCGTCCTCCTTTGTTAAGGTAACTTCCACCGTGTAATCGTTTACCAGCTTTCCGCTTTTTTTTTCAACCTCACAAAGAGATATCTTTTTGACGTTATCAACGAAAAGAAGAACTTCAAATAATTCTCTCTTGAGCTCCTCCATCATTCTGTCTAGTTTTTCCAGTGTTACAGCCCTTGACGAGACTTTGGACTCTATCGCCATTTCTTCACTTCGTAGAGGAAACCTAAAAATGGTTGCGTTATCTCCTGAAAAACGTTCTAGTTCTCCAAGATAACAGCGGAAAACATCAGGGAAATCCTTCTGGAGTTTTTCGCTGACTTTAAACATCCTTCCGGGTTTTTCGGAACTCGCACCAGGTGCGTATCTGCAGTCTGGGTCGAATACTAACAAAACGTCTCCAACATCTCCTCCTTTTGAAATAAATGAGGGCGCATCAGTCAAGTGGTAGACAGCGTTAAACCCAACCCCATACTCGCCAGTTTTACAAGGATCACCCCCCTTACTTCCTTCGCCAAGGTTCTGTATGCCATCTATGTCCGCCCTTGTAAAGGGCCTATTGTTGTAGACGCATAACGCAGGACCTTGCAGGGGTTGCCAACTGTCTTCGAAGATCCTTTCCTTGGGGTGGTACCTCGGGTCTTTGATGAAGCAAATTTCAGTTGCCTGTGCATCATCTGCATTTTGAACAAGTTCCTTCAAAATTTCCTTTTCACAAGGATACTCTGTCAGAATACGACGAAGACGATTCGCAAGTTTCTCAGTTTGACCACATGGAAGCCCAATCGTGTGAGATTGCAAAGCTTCTTCTCGACGTGTTTTAACCCCCATTTTTTGACAGGTTGGCCAAGGTATTCTATCGTTCACGTAGTGCACGTCTGCTTCATCTCCAATCCAGGGGCAATTTCTAATGCAAAGGTCTGACACTGCTCTCATCACCCCTTTTGAGTCAGGAAGAAAAACAGTCTCTTTTTGCAACTGAGATGCACTAATCTCAGAAACGTTCATTACTTTGCTCAATTGGAGTGTCAGGTTCACTGAAACTTGAAGGGTTTTTTCATCTAGTTTAGTCTCTCCAAACTGACTCTTTATTTCCTGCAGGCTTGAAATGTAATCCTTTTTATCAAAAACTTCCTTTACCCCTGCCGCTTCCATCATGTCAGGGAAAGTATCGGTAAGTTGCTGCGGCAGTTTGTAAAGATATGGTGCACAATCAGCCGTTAATTCAAATGCTACTTCCCTAGCAGAGAGAAACCTCCTCTCGACCAGAATGAAATTCTTTCCATGTAGAAATTGTATGCACTCATCACCATTGATTCCCACGGTTTTGTTAAGATATTTATAAGCTTCATGGCAAATACAGGTTACTTCTTGATACTTGGTAACATTCAGCAAATCCACATTTGTGGACATTGCGCATTCGATCTGTTGAGTCACATGGCTTAAGGAGGCATCTTTTGTGTCTAGCTTTAAACACTTTTCAACATTTCTTGGAAGGCTAATACCAACCAATGGCTCACTGCAACATACAAGGTACTTTTTATCTTGAAGGAACACTTCCTTCGGTGAAAGCAACACTTGTTGCTTCCCTTGAAGAGCATCTCCTTTCCAGGGAAGTGGAAAGTTTTCTGGTTTTTTAAGAACGGGAAGAAATTTAGCCTGCGAAAGACGCTGATAGATTCCAGCTTGAAGCGAGTACTCTCGTCTTTTTGAGGATCGCGCCATTTTCATCTTCCCTCTCTCCCTTTTTATCTTCCCCTCCATGAACCTCAATAGCTCCTCAACACGCTTTAATGCTGCATTAGGGTCGGTCATGTTTAACCGTTGGATACTCTCAGCTCTCTCTGCTACTTCACTCCATGGAAGATCATCCGAACACATTCCCAGCCCTTCAAGTTTGGTCAGTCTTTGAGGGCTGCGGTACGATGCCTCATTGCCAAAAGGAAACTTTCCTTCGTCAGAGGAGAACAATGCTGCTACCTCCTTTCTGGGATCTACAAGTTGACTTGGGCACTTGAGAGTCTTGCCAGATGGTGATACCGGAATGCAGGCATGTGCCTTTATCAATGAGTCAAAATCGCGACCATTGTCTAACGCATGAAGCATCAACAGGTCTCTAACGTTAACCGGAATTCTCAGCATCTGAGGAAAGAAGCACTGGCGATAAAAAGCGACCTCGCTGTATTTCTTTTTGTTCATTGTTCTCTCCTGATTGCTCTCTTCGAAAGACATCAATATATCAGACGGTAAATCAATAACTACTGTATTTCGAGCAGATCTGTAAAGGAGTTGAAGAACTTCAAACGCAGCATGTCCAATTTCAGATGCTTCGCGAAATTTTGGATCAAGGAAAACGATTTTGTTGATGTCGACCCACTGACGTCCGTCAGAAAAAAGGGAGAAACCCCTATTGGCAACACTTTTGTAGAAGGACTTCATGAGGGACCTACAGTTGTGTTGTACGGTCGAGCTCTTTGGCCACAGCAAATGGAACTGATAAGAATCTCCATGGGTAACAAGTGACTTGAGGTCGTCAAGAAGAGTTAAATACGCGGTGCATACCGAGTCTTCCATGAGTACTTTGTTCCAATTAACTCCATGACATGATTTGTCATCCTCAACTTTCCTCTCTAAATTTCGTCTGTCAGCAGCTACAGCAAATGCCCCATTTATGTGCACTGGCAAACCACTGTGGATCGGAAGGGGAAGGTAGCAGAAAACAGAACCGTTAACATCTACGCCATCAATATTCTTAACGACAGGCGAAGGGACATACCCGTCAAGACCTCTTGAAATCAGCTGAACAGCTACTCCTGCCGACGGAACAAGGGTAGTATCACTATGACCCATGATGAAACTCATAGCCTCACCCCTGCCCATTGATGAGACAACGAGCCATGTCGTTTTCTCGTGCCCACATGGAAGGCCACCACCAAAAAATTCCACGCCTTTGTTGGTGAGATTACAGTCGATCTCTATGGATACTGACGATTGTGGAGAATTGCTAACGTCATCTCTACCATTTCTTAGGTCCACCATAAATCTTGAGGCTGCTTGAAGAAAGTTACTTTCTTGGAGAAGCCTCTTTTCCTCTTTGCTTAGCTTCCCTGCTGTGGTGGGTAGCGTGACAGAGGATGACAGCTCCCTTGGTATTCCAACCGAAGAAAGTGATTTTGTCACCTGAAATAGTAAAAGGGATGCACCTGGAAGCGAAGTGCGCGGCAAATTGTAAATTCCCACGCGGAGGATATTTTGTGAAAAAAGAAGCAAACTTTCGGCCCCTTCAAGGAACATTTGCAAAAGTTTTCGCATTTCGTGGTCGTTGTAATCCAACTGCTTAATCTCGCTTCTTTGAGCTTGCTCACTCGTCCTCAATGGAAACCGGAAAAGAGTTCCCCGAAATGAGTTGTCTCTCTTACTTAGACGTAGGTCACAGCCAAAGATTCCATCAAAGGGCTTAAACTGCCCTCTATAGCGTGCTCTTAGGGCCTCTGGGTTCTTGTTGAGATCTATTTTAACACCTGGCTTCGCGGGGTTTTTTATGTGCCTTCCAAGATGTGACATGTGAGGGTCAAAAACTACGAAGTAGTTTCTGCTTAAAAACATGGGCACATCTGTTAAATTGTAGACTGCGTTGAAACCAAGTCCAAATTTTCCAATTTTTTCGGTGTGGTGCTCTTTTGTGGCTCCGCTTAATTTCTCAATGTTTTCAAAGTCCTTTTCCGTAAATTCGGCGTCATTGTAGACCCAGAGGGCAGGGCCCTGGCATTCTTTCATCCCTTCATCAAGCAGGTGGGTCATGGCATCGTTGTTAGCTCTTTCGTCGTATAGGAATCTCACTTCAGTGGCACCAGCGTCGTCGGCGTTTTGGACAAGCTCCTTAAGTACTGCAAATCCATCGGTGTACTGGTCTAGCAATCGTTTTAGTCGAGTAGTTATCTTTTCATATTGGCCGAATGCTTCTATTGATGACTCCATGGGATCTAACACAGTTCTGGTCGAAGAGGTTGAAGCAGATGCAGGCCTGGAGAGAGCTGATGATCGCTTCATTTCCTTCCTTTTGATTAACTTCAAGATCCCAACTTGGATCTCTAGCTACGAACAATTGCATAATTACACTCACTTCTTTGCCACTTAAGGATTACTGCAGTTTGTTACATAATACCGCTCAACAACGAATAAAATCTAAGATGAATGGATATTAAGTGTTATGTAATGCTCAGTACAACCCTTTTTACATTCAAAATAAGTGAGGACTTACTGAACTATTTCAATAATATTTAATGTGGTCGACCTCCAATAAACAAATTCAACAACAGAAATAGTCTACTGATGGTCTCCTTTTTTTTGGGGGGGGGGGCATGCATTTTTGAAGCTAACCTGTATTGATACATATTTTTGTGTACAATAAAAAGTCTAATAAACTGGAAGAAAAATCTTTTCAGTTTTGATGATACGAGCGCATGAAAACCGTATTCAGATGTTCGTTTTTTTTATATTTTGAAAGAATCGGGTAATGGCTTTTTTTAAAATAATGATTGGAAAATTCTTCACTTTCATGGTTTATTGTAAATCTTGAAATTTAAGTCAAAAGTCCAAACCTCAAGTCGAACAACTTGATGTGATACTTTTTTTTGACAGTTAGTACACTTATAAAAGAGTTTTCTTGTATGAAAGAGCCTATTTGATTTAATTTAGATATTATGCAGGGTGTTTTAATGATATCTAAACAGCAGTCTCGATTTGGCGCCAAAATTTACACACAAGTTTTCCCGCAGGCATTATCTGTTCCGAGATACGTATCTCAGTTTCAAGGGAAATTCCGAGTCTCCATGCACGTTTAAGCCGAATGGGTTGTTCAGTGTAATTCCAGTGTCTCATATATATATATATATATTTTTTTTTCATTCAATCTTTGCTGACTCCTTCCCAGTGGATTGCAGAAGTTGAAGCGAGAGTATTAAAAAAATAAGTTGATGCACACTTAGAGATAAAACAACTTTCCAAACATTTCACCCTCTTAGTCTTCAAGGCTATATCTACTTCTTCTTGTTTCGAATCTTAAGCGTTTCGATCGAGCCATTTTGTATCAGAGATACCTGTGGTGAGGATCGAATCTCTGTTACCTCATTGGTTTGATATCTTTCACTGGCAGTGTCAATATAGTATTCGTTCCTAAGCTAAGTTGTGCTTATGTCCAAAGTAAGTGCCTTGATTCATGCTACTACCATGGTCTTGCTTTTTCATTTGTTGAGCGAGGTATCTTTAATGCCTCAATATGTTTTATCTCGCTTTTGAACGAGGCTCGTATCTACATTTGCCGTCGCTGATGGAAGTCCTACCTTACAGCAATAAATTATTAACTTCTAAATTTAATCAGTCAAGTTAACTCGAAAAGTCTAACTCGAACTTGACTAGACCAGTTTTTATCCTTCTCCAAGCCAGTCCTCACTAGGGGCCTAGGTTATCGAACTTTACATTTTTCAAACATTCACGAAATTTTGTCAGTTGCATCCTACATATTCTTATGAAAAGATTCTTTGCACCAAAAAGTGTAGTTCCGATAGCATGAAGCAAGAAGAATGCTACATATCAACGGAGAGAGAATCTTAAAAGTTAAATCTGATTTAAAGATAACCATAACGAATCACTTTCGTTTACTATACTCACATACAAAGTGATGCTCGTTAACTTTAAACTCGGTTACTCATCTGAAAATCAAAACCATACGAATAATTATAAAGATATGGCATAAAATATTACCAGAAGAAATATAAATCCCCAATGGCTTAAAGAGATTTTCCACTCCGTAAAATATAGGTGCAGCTTTACAACTCATATATGATTCACTTGGGAGGGAGCACTTACTTCAGTTCTGCTATCAAGGGAGAGTAAGTCGAAATTCAATTGTCACAGCTTCATTGTGCTAATATCTGAAAAAAATCAAACACATTCAGGCTAGAAATTACGAATTGAACTATCATTTGCAACGCCCAAAAGCTTCATAAAACAACTAAGAATATGTGGAAGTGAGGTACAGACAATTCTCTTAGTACTTGGGTCTGCGACTCAATCGTCCGAAAAAGATCTTCACAGACGAAAATTACAGCACGTTGTCCAAGAGACTTCTTCTGTCTACGGTATAAGTAATAACACCTCAATAGGACTCACTAAAGCTTGTCGAACGATTGCATCAGACAAAGGTTTAGAAATTAGCAGATTGTCAGGGTGGGATCCAAGTTAACTTTGAAGAAAGGTACAAAAAGCGACAAAAAACTGACAAAAAATATTGGTGTAAGAGCCAACAACATCTGCTGCATCTGGTAGAAAGAAGCCTCTGGAAACGCTTGGTAATTTACATCAATACGAAGCAGCAAGATCATATCAATTATTTATCAACATCATAATGAGTTTTGCACAAATCTCAATGTTTACTTACAAATTTAGAACTTAACTTTCTCGGGCTTAATAAATTTTGGGGGAACACAAAGACTTTTGAATGCCTGAAATACAATTTTGAACAGGTCTAATAATACAAGAGGGTATGAAAATTCTGACAATTCGATGAGGTCCTTAATCATGAAACACACATGAGGAAATGACAAAACGAGGCTATTTATCAGTTCAAAAACACAGAGTTAATTTACACGGTTTCATATTGCATATTGTCAGTTCTAACATGTTCTCAGAACGTAGCCAAAATTCCGAGAAAACCATCGCATGTTTAAGCTGCGTCAGAGCACCTCGATATCAACATTTTGTCAACACATCAGTACCTAGACGTAGTTGTTATCTGATCGCTATAATCACAAGGATCGCTGGAGAAAAATTCCGAGATTCCGGAAGTCCTTGTCCATCACACCGAGCGGTGTCGGCGACTGTCGGCGAATACAAAGATAACTGAGGGAATGTCAACAAATAATCTAACTATGATTGCTGAACTTTTCTCAGCGACCGTGATGATCACGTGAAAACCAGCTCGATACATTTGTCATCCCTAAGTTTTAGCATCTTATATCAGATGCCAAGGAGCATTATCTCAACTGACAGCAATTGGATTTCACGTGACTAAGAATTTTACTTTCCTCGTTGCCTTGAGGTTCACAAACTTGAAGAACAGAAACCACCAAGTTTCTATTCATTAAGAAATTCACTCCTTAAAGGTAGACTGATACAAAAATTATGTCACGATTCACCAACAACGGAAAAGACCGCTTCAAGTTTGAGGTATTCCAAGTGACAAAAACCTAGCCTAACGCGACGTCAATAATACTTCCCAAATTAATTCCGCAATTGTGGTACCAAATTGATATCTCTAGTAAAACATGCTTCAAAACCTTCCTACTTTGCTTTTCATTTGCAACGCTGCCAATTCATCAATAATTGCCGGCCACGAAGATAATTTGAATAAAAATGACCCTTACTAAGAATTCGAGGGTTAAAGAAAAATAAAAACGTGGGGAGTAGGGACACTGGATCTCTTGGTAGGGATCTACCATCCGTCTTTATAAATCCTGATCCTATTTCAGACCAGAAAGATCCATTTCCACTTTCTGTCCTTGGACATGGCCTATGATTTCATTTTGGTTTTCAAATCTAACGTTTGAACGTTGCACTTGACTTACGAAGCGATTACGATTTGTTGAAGTGAAGCGTTCATAAACTCTGCATCAAAGCCAAAGCCAAGAATAAAACTCACACGAGAATTCGTCTGCTGGCAAAAGGAATTTTTTTTCCTGGTTGCTATATCATTCATCGAGTGTATGTGTTCGCGTAGTTCCGTTGAAAATCATTGTTTTTTTTTATGACCATAAAGTTCAAACTCTTGACCCATTTTCTGAAATATTCTTTGGGCTTTGTTTTTACATGTAGAACTCGTACAGAGAAGAAGCCTCCTCTCTCTTGCCGACGGGGCATCCTAATAATATACAGTTTATCATGACATACAGTATTTAGATGTCAGCCGCGGAACTGACAAAGAAAACTGAAATGATGGGTAGTTTGCGTTTAACAGTCGATAGGTTCGAAGTTCGGTAACATAAGGTTTAGTCGCTTTGGTATTTTCAGTTAGCTACACTGTAAAGCAAGCTTTTATGGGAAGTATTTTTCTTTTAGTTGATTATCAGATAAAATGCATGTTGATTTCCTAAGCTTGAATTGCAAATTGAGATGCTTCTAGTTACTTATTAATGTTGTCTGCGAATGAAATACCGCGGAAGGAAACGCACACTCAATACATCTGCATACCAATCAATATTCTTTAGTTTCTAGCAATTCATCGTGCGCATTTTGATTTCATAAAAAGACTTGAGATACAAGGTGGCAAAACACAACGAAACGCAGTAAATAGCGAAGACAACATCACCAAAGATGGAACGAACCTGCTTTCAATACCTTGCGTCTATTGCGAAACATTGATCTGAACTGCGTTTAATTATCATAATGTAAAATGATCCTATAGGTTAGTCGCATCCTTAGCTTTGCCTTAGCAATCCCTTCCAGCCCACAGACAGGCCAGATGAATCTAGTCGTACCTTTCTTTGCGATATTTTGCAACATACGAGTATCTAACTCATCTTCTGTTTCCTTTCTGACCAAAATCAAATAAAATTAATTTTGCAACGACTCGTCTTCATCACGTTCCATTTTAGCTTCAAAACATGCTGGCGTCTAAAAGTGATTCGCACGAGGAACAGAATGATGATTTAACTATTTGAATCTCCAGAACAATATCTACTAGCTAAAATGTAGTTATGTGTATAATATTGATTTGATTCGACATGGCGTCGCTCTGGTCCATCACCACATTCTACAATACACCGACAAGCAACATGATTTCGCCGCACAGAAATCTTTCCCTCTCAGGATACTTAGCCATATTCACATGTTACTCACCTTTGTATAAAACGGACGAAGTAGTCCCAACCGACTTTCAATGATTTACGGAAACGTTCTGTCTTGATAGGGAATGAAGACCTTCTTCGAGTAAAGTAAATTCTCGGAAACTGTTGGGTGGTTTCCGACAGTACATTTCTGGGAAAACACAGTCATTTGCATTTCACGTGACCATCACCGATCCAAGATGGCGGATACCCGGAAGTGACATTTGTTTGTCTTGTTACGCACCTCAAGAAAACCTTTGCCTCGCAAAATCGTTTTCGTCCTATGCATTAATAATTCTTTCACCATAAAATGTGGTTCAAAGGGTATGGAAGTATCATTCCTGGATAGAGATATTGTGTCCTAAAAGGAGAATTTGAATCGTACGGCGTTCAATTAGCGTGTTTACGATGCTGTCTGCGTAAAGGTACGTGAAAGGTGATAGCAAGTCGTTTACAAACTCTTCCAATTTGCTGAATGTTTACAAGGATACCTGTAACGATTATTGCTTAAGCTGCTCGGGTAAGAACCGAGACTATAAACATTTAAATTAACCGTGAACAAAAAAGCAACGTCAGGAAGTATTCAAGCGTCTCCCAAATATTTTGCTTTCTATATTTTACCACAAGAAACAAAACATGAAAAAACAGACATAAGCGATTGAAGGCTTGATCATGTAAATAATGATATTATCTGGGTTGGAGTATCAAGTCCAAACACCAAACGGAATACATTAGCTGGGAGCGGAGTTCTGTCTAAATTGTCTCAGCCCTTGCAAGAAGATCTTCTTTGTTTGATCGATCATCTCTTGGTAAAATTTCAAGTCCTCTTCTTTGGCTTTCAGTGTGGAACTGAGTGCTTCTTTCAGCGCGTCATTTTCGTCTGTCTGGATGGCCAGCCTACACCAGAAAACGAACAGATTCTATCGGTCGAACCTGATAATTTTCCTGTAAGGTTACGGCCGAATATGACCCTTACCGCAAATAATTCACAGTATAAACGAAGGAAGCTTTCCCCTCACTTAAGGAAATAAAAGACAAATCTCGAATATCGCATAGCATCGAGGTTCGGACACAAAAACACTGTCATTAAAAAGAGAGCCAATGGCTAAATTAAGTTACGCTCCCTAGTACAACAGCGCTATCAAAATTTTGGAAAGCTTTTTTCTCATCAGAGCGAATTGTCACATAAGGTAGAAACTGACCACTTTGCAAATGCCGTTGGCTCATCACGGATTTACAAAAATCGACCGAGTGGGGTATTCACGTTCCTTACCGAGTTGCAAGATCGTCCAAGTCCTCTGGCTTTCCTTGTCTTTCCTGTCCTGTGCCCCCGGACCCATACCCTTTGCCCCGCCCCTTAGCCACGCCCTGTCCCGACTGGACTCTACTCAGCTGCTTCTCCACGTGAACGACTTGACGTCGTTCCTGCTGCCATTTGTTGATAGCCTCTAACTCACTGTTTTTAGCTTCATCGACCCTGAAAATATAGCACACATTTATATAATAGATCCAAAAGCAGTTAGCAAATGAAATTTTCAACATATGACCTCTCCTTTTTATATAGCGAATTTTACGTATGAAATAGAAAAGGAAAAAATAACCAACGAACGACGGAACGAAAAGCTCAAGGGGAAAAGTGTTCTAGTTCCGGTTGCAGGAGGGTCGTGTGGCCCTATCTGCCAGCTAAATTGCTGAACGCCTGATTAACAATCACAGCAACCCCTACTTGTAAACCGATTTTCACCTTCAACCTATGCAATTAGTTTCTTATTCACTGAATCATCCGTTAGTTTCCCAAACCACCGCAAATCTCTTCGCGTTCCTACTGTCGTAAAAAACCTTTGAGTAAATTACCTTTTCTGCAAGAGAGTAACCAGTTCTAGGAGCCGATCCCGCTCAACTTCAGCAGCCTGACACAGGGACTTGCTCTCATGTAGTTGAGATTTTAATAATTGGATCTCTTCACTGAAATAACCAAAATTGAGTAAAAACCAGCGGGCTGTTTCTTTCGAAAATAAATTACGGCTAAAGAATGTTATAAGGAAGCCACTGGTTGACAAAATTTGAGGCAGTATTCCTGGTGCAGCTCTCAACTTAGGAAAACAACAAGATTTCTAAGAGACACAAAGAGGAAATTCTGCGTTGATTGGCTAAAATTCTGCGAAACATCGTTTCTTGCCTGCCGATGCGGAGTTTTTCCTTTTCATTTTCTCATTCATCCTTTTGCTTTTATTTTCTTTCATGCATGAAGTAACCAGTAGTACCACTTTTTACATACCTGCCTCCAACACTGTTCCGGCGTCCCCTACTTCCACGTCCACCACTTGGTGGTGTGGGGGGCAACTGGTATCCCTGTGCTGAATTCCTTCCCGACGTGCCACTCGCACTTCCTCGTGACATCACGTGTCGCCGAACTGGACTGCCAGGAACGGATGGACCCTGGGTTTTAACAGGCCCTTCTGAATGATACTGCGAAGGAGTCACCTGTCTTTTATGTGACATGTAACTGTTATTTTGAAATCCTACTCGCTCGGCCCTCTCCACATGAGGCCCGTTGGATAATGCTCCCTCCACACGACCGTTTACCGGTAATGGTCCTTTACAGACCGGCTCATGAGGGGCAGCATTTTCAAAAATATTGTTATTCAGCCTTTCTTCATTTGTCGGTAAGTCCTCTGTACCACATGCTACAGATTTTGTCTCGCGCTCGCACAGCTCCTTATATTTCTCGTTAGTGTTTTGCAGAGTTACTCTCGCCTTACTGAGTTCCTCTTCAAGCCGCTGTATCCGTCCATCTCGCTCTTGGCATGCCAATGTAAGGTGTTCTATTTGCGCCTTGTCTTGTTGATTGTTCACTAGTTTAGGGGGTGAGGAAGCTTCCTTTTTAATTGCTGCACTCTTCAGCTGTTGTTGCTCCCTCTAAAACAAATGATATGACTCCATTAATTCCAAGATAACACCGGAGTAAAATCATCTTACCAGGAACATTTGCAATCCAGAAGCAATCGCCACTCACAATGTCGGAGGAACATACCCTCTTCTTATTTCTTATTTCTTATGGTTGTTTGACTCCATTTTGAAAGGAACGGTGCAAGCCCCAGTCTGGTAACTTTGCTGTGCTCTTATAACAGACATTTCACTCTCACAATGTATCTCTCCACTATTGAGTACATTGGACAGCCAGATAACTGTCATTTAGCAAACTCGGAAAATACATGTACTAACTGGGGTTATGTGCGATGAACTATCAAGCCATGCAGCAGAAGGAGCGAAACTCCTCGCCATGTTAACGCAACAGATAGATCGATTGGCTCCAGAAGTTATTGGTTATTGATACTGGGCTCGTGAAGTTCAACCCCATTTGTAAAACACTACCAGAGAGTTCTTCTCAAGTAAATCTCCGCTAACCAAAAACACGTAGGTTGACCGCGCAGTCAACCTTTCCTGCATAAGCGCAAAGTAATTACAGCAACAATAATAAATACAAAGAGCTACGCATTCATTCGTTGAACAGACCATAAGAGCTGCAATAAGTTCATCATCGTGAGCTCCTTTCTCTAGTAGAGTTTGTACTTGAGCCTTCAGTCCCTTCAGTTCACTAGCCAGCACCTTATTGCGCGCTTTAGCGGCGTCGTGTTTCTGTTGTAATTTGGTGTGTTCTTGGTCCAAACTCTCTAACTCCGCCTGAGTTTTCTATCAAAAAAAAGTATCATGTACAATATACCAACAAAATATAATTCTCAACTACTCGAAATTGAAGTCGTTTCTTTCCCTCCTTCTAAGCGCATGAGCAAAGAATAAATACGTTTACGTCGAGTATGTTATCAGAGACATTTAGATGACACGTTATTAGGGAAATACAAATAAAAAAAATATAACACGAGAAGCTCAATTTTACACATAATGAAGCAAAGTTTGAGGTGTTACTTTTATTTGGCGTTCAAGAGCCTTCTCTTAGTTGCAAAATGAAAAAAATGCTAACAGATGGTAACTTATGTTTATCATTGTACCTCTGCTACGCTATACTGACGCTATTCCCGGGACCCCTCTTTTTGCTATGATTTTATATACGTCTCTCACCTCTTGCGCCTCCTTACGATCTTTCTCGATCTTTTTTAACACCGAGCGATGTTTTTCGTCATACTGAGAAGGAGCGCTGGATGGTGACATCATGGCTGATCTCAGAAGTATGTTGTTTGATGTGGTTGAGCCGCTACGAGCCACCTGACTCAACTGTGCCTTTAACTCTGTAACCTGTCGAGTGGAATACATGACCAACATTCAGAGTCTTAAAATAGCTGAAAAGAATGTTGCTCTCTTTGCAATGACATCTGCAAATAATTAGACATTCTGATCTTCTCGCATGTTAAGAATGATAAACCACAACCCCCCTCTCCAGCATCTTCTCTTCACTGGTTAGCAGGGGACGTTGAAGAACCCACGCATTTCTCAAAAGGAGTGGGGAACGTAACTTAGGTTATTGTGGTCTGCACTTGTTTCAAAAAGTGGGGGAACCACCAATTTTTTAAAATTGTCATATGCTCGTGGCCAAAGAGTTCCAAAAGTGTCGTAAAGCGCCTTAGAGAGTATTGGTATGGATAATGTGCTATATAAATGCCTCATCGTTATCACGACCGTTACAACTTTCTATTCCATTCTCAAACTCATCATAATTCATGCTGAGAAAACAAAGGAAATTACAACCGTGAAGGAGGTTTGGATATGTGATCTTAATTATCATAAAATTTGGTGAACTTTTGCTTTGAATTTCTCCAAGAATTATTAATGGTTTGAGAAGCTTTATCAAACTTTCGAAAGGGCGTTTTATCCGATATCCACACACTTTGAAGTTGGTTAAAAAAAAACTCGGCTGCGCATCGTTTTTTCAACCACTTCTCGGTGTTTGGATATCGGATGAAACACTCTTCCTCGTGCTTGATATATTACTTGAAGCACTAAAAACAGCTGAAGTTACGAAGAGCTTTAAGATAAATTTTACCTTGTTTTGTAAAGACGTGATCTGCTGTTGTCGTCCTCTCCAACCACTGGAGTCATTCAACAGTGTGGTGATGTTGAAACCATCCCCAACCTCCTTTGCAAGGACCTTAAATGAATAGAAAAAATAAAAGAATAAATACGCCAGCATTAACTGAAATTAAATGACACTTTAAGATCGTAAAATATTTGCAGATGAAAAACCTCAATAAGTGAGTGTTCTCACCTTGTGTGCAACCTTTAAATCTTTCTTCAGTTTGTCACATTGATTCCTAAATTCTGCCACTTTATTGTTTGCTTGGCTCAGTTTGTCCTGCAGAGAGGCAATTTCAGAACTGTCCTACAAAACAGATGAATCTATGGTTAGCATCATATACTGCAGGATGCTGGTTATATATAATTTATTTTCTACACTGTCTATCACTTTCTGTACGATATTACAATGGAACGCTACTAACTCGAACTTGGTTAACTCAGTAACTCAAAAGAAGAGCTGATTTTGGTCATTTACTATCACCTGACTCGACCCCCCTCCCTCCCCTCCACCCCAACTCAAACCATTTTTTTTCCCTAAGGAGTTTGGTTCAGCAAGGTTCAGGGTTTTTTCGTGTGAGTTCAAAAATTTGTATATGAATGACTCGGCAGCTACCAGTACCTTTTCTGAGTCTGATGACTTTGATTTAATTTTGTGTTCTTCACCAGGCTGTTTTGAGTTACTCTGCAGACTTCCTGAGGATACCATCTGGCAAACAAGAAAATGAAAGTTGTCCAACAGTGCAATAGAAGTTGAAGAGTAAAATATTTTCCACTGATTTGCATTTGATAATTTTAAAAGTAGCATATTTTTACATTACTGGTAAGCATCTAGTCAAGTCTTTCAACAAATGTCAGCATGCATTAAAGAAAGAAAAAAATATGTGCTAGAGTTACCTTTTGTTTAAGAGTGGACAGCTACAAAATGAACAACTCTCATGCTACTATATCAATGCAATGTACCTCTCTTTCCATCTCTCTCATCTTCTTCATCAGTTGCCTTACTTTGTTACGTTCACTTTCCAAGTCTGCAGTCAGGTCTCTGTTCTTCTTTGACAGTTCCATGATTCTACCAGCAGCGGTGTCAGCAGCCACTCCAGTGCCTAAGAGAACAACAGAGTTACAAAAATCAAATGGAAATTCTACACAAAATACACATATTTATGTTCCATGAACCATAAACCATAACTATATGCTGCATATGACAAAAAAGTGTATGGTTTCTTTAATGTCTCCTGCTAACCAGTAAAAAGAAGATGCACAAGATGAGACCTGCAGTTTTTCATCCTTTCCAAGAAGACTAGAATGCTAACCAATTGTGCATGTCATGACAAATTCAGTTATTTTAACCCTTTAACTTGCAAGATTTTTAATTCTCTCCTCTAGCTGCTACAGATTTTCTTGCAAACTAGTTATGAGAATTTGGTAATGAATCAAGATAACAACTTCTACTTGATAAGTTTGAATTTTCTCTTTGCCTTTTCACTGGATAAAGTATGGATATTATGGGGAAAAGTTACAAGTTAATCACTTCTGGAAGTTGAAGGTTTAAGACCCAGAGTGTTGGTTCAGTCTGGGGCTTAAACCCTCAAAATACTGCACAGCAGTTAGGCACTCTAGAACATGAAGTAACCAAGTGCAGTTAAAGGGTTGCATGGACAAAAAGCCCAAAGTGACTGTCAAGAGACCTGACCTACAGACCTACAGCTGCAGAACACAAGGAGAGGCATATGTTTCCTCAAAAATCATTTGGGGCCTCTACCTTTCCTCTACCTTTCCTTGAACCACTTAAAATTTTAATGACTGAGGATTGATCATAGAGATCTTTGTTCTGACTAGTCAAGCAACACATATTTTGTAATAAAATCCCCTTTTGCCAGGTGAACATGCTACTTGAAAAATAGCTGCAAACTAAGTTTCTAGATAACGTAATCAATATTACTTAAAAGTGTAGCAATAGGGCAGCTCTGCCATCTTTCTGTGAACTACACACAACCCAAAATTCCTCTATTTGCTCTGACAAATAGCTAACATTTAAAACATCAGCTTTAGAAGCTGTCTCCAATAACCAATTCTTATTATCAACTCAGTTGCTAAAACCAAATTATCTTACAGTTCTCTGCAACAATGCAGCCCCATTTTTTTAAATAATAATTATACACTATACCCCTTCTGACAGCTAAATTTATCTGAGAATAGAGACCAAATCTGAAATGCTGTCCAAAAAATCAGCAATTGACTGGCTTGAACACCTGAAAAACCTTCAAAAAAAACCTTCCTTCAGAAGCAACATTTATTATGTCATTGTTAAATTAGTTTTTACCTGCCAAAGCCTTTTTCTCTTCATCTCGAGCTTTTCTCAGAATCCTCATTTCTTCATCTCTCTCACCAAGAAGCTTGTAAAGTCTTCCATTTTCATCTTTAAGAACCTGTATGATTCATGAGAATGAGTTTATGCAAATGATACCCTCATCTGCTCAAAGAAATTTTATTCTTGTAACCATGTCAAGATGAAGGACCTATCTGGTAGAGCCTTAATCTAAAAAATGCCATGGACTAGTAACAGGAAATCTTAAAATCCTACTCTAAGATGTCAGGGAAAAACCATTTTTAAAACACTGCCTGACTGCTGGTGCAGGGGTTAAGAGAATAAATTTTTTTGCAATATAATTTTTTTTTTCTGGATTGTACTAAGATTCCAGGATAGCAAATAATTTTGGATTATCACTTTATAATCAACTCACCCTTATAGTGTCTTTCAAGTCTTCAAGTTCCTTGTGTATGGGTGCCTCTTCCCCAAAAGGTACCTTGGAATCAAGCTGAAAGTAGCAACATTTGTAACTTTTAAATTTCAGCATTACAGAGGTACAAAAAGACCCTTTGACCCCTAGGACTGACTAAAACGTAATTTATCTTAACAATATTATCCCTGAATCAAAATTAAGGTCACGAGAGTAAAAAATATGATCACCAACTAAAGAAGCTCTCGATTGTTTAACAAATTCTCTGTGTAAGCACCTCAGGAAATGTATGGAGAACAGTATGGAGAATATGCGTGTTGATTTTTGGGTGTAAAAGGTCGATAGTGTACTAAAATTATTTTTTATTAACAGATCCAAGTTACGTTCTGGAATCAGTATAAAAAGTAACCGCTCATTTTATTCTCCAGAGCAATAGTGTTCCCTTGTGTACAAATTGTGAGCAAGTCGAGAATGAAACTCCAAGTTAGTATGCTTATTCTATGTAGTACTCAAACTTTGAAATTAATCAAAACAAAACTGACATACTTTTAAGTCCAAATGATCGCTTTTGTAGTCATGTCCCCAGAAGCCTTCAACCGTTGTAGCTTCTTCATCGTCCCTTGATGTATTGTCAGAATTCTTGGTCTTTCGTTGTTTTCTAGCGAGAAGCTTTTTCTGCTGTTGTTCCTGTATTAGCTGGAACTGTTGTCGCAACGATTCGGACGCGTCCATGCTCATATTTTCAAAAGGTTTTTAGAGGTTTATTTTTAGCCATGTTTATCCGACATTTTGTTGCCAACAGACAAAGTTGTCGTACTCAGTCTTCTCTCTGATACTACTTCAAAGTGAGGTTCATCAATCAAAACATGGCGGAGATTTCTTATCGTGTTACCGTTTGATAGCAGATTTATTTAATTTTTTGCCCTGTTTTTTTTCTCCTCCGATTTGTAGTGAAGAGATTTAAAATTGTAATATAAGTCCTTTAGTCTGATGAAGGAATGGACAACTACGAAAAAATCAAGAGTATTGGTCGTGGTGCCTACGGAACTGTATATTTGTGCAGACGAAATTCCGATGGATGCCATGTTATCATCAAACAAATTCCAGTGGAAGAAATGAGTAAAGAAGAGAGAGTGGCCGCTAAAAACGAAGTTCAAGTGCTTTCCATGCTGAAACATCCAAATATCATCGCATATCTTGAGAGTTTCGTCGAGGAAAAAGCGCTGATGATAGTGATGGAATATGCCCAAGGAGGTACCATGTACACCTTTCTCGAGGAACGCGAAGGAAAGCTGCTTGACGAAGACGAGATAATACGACTTTTCGTACAAATTGTGTTGGCTCTTTGTCACGTCCACCAACAAAACATCCTTCATAGGGATCTTAAGACTCAAAACATTTTACTAAACAAGACAAGGAAGGTTGTAAAGATCGGAGATTTTGGCATCTCAAAAATACTGAGTAGCAAAAGTAAGGCTAATTCAGTGATAGGCACGCCATGTTACATTTCGCCTGAACTGTGCGAGGGCAAACCATATAATCAAAAAAGCGATATTTGGGCTCTTGGATGTGTTTTATACGAACTAGCTACGTTAAAGAAAGCGTTCGAGGCGTCCAATTTACCTGCTTTGGTAATGAAAATTATGAAAGGGAACTTCATTCCGATTTCGGAAAGATACAGTGAAGATTTCAAGAATCTTGTTTTAAACATGCTTCAGGTGGACCCTGCTAAAAGGCCAACTCTGCGGCAAATCATGGCACAACCGCTTGTTGTCAACGCTTTGTTTAATCTACAAACTGATGTGGGACGAGTTCCATGTAACAGAGCGCCAAGACCAACGGCAGGAATATCAGGTGAACTTAATTTTTACTCTCATCTCAGTGTAGAATCATAACAACATGGTAACTTTTTTCTAACACCTTCATTTAGAGAAGTGGGAAAGTTTTCTGTATAACTCCAGTATAACCTCATACGGATCAATATCAGTATCTGGGCAACTGCCCACCTACCCCTCCCCTAACTCAACAACAGTCGATTGATAACAAAGTTAGGGTTAATGTTGGGTTAGGGGAGGGGTAGGTGGGCAGTTGACCAGATACTGATATTGATCCCCCCATACTATTCTCAGACAAAGCTTTAGTCGAAAAGGTTATGTCCTGCTCTCACTATTATTTCATCTATTCATTTAATTATCTATTCATTTAATTATCTTTTCATTTATTTATTCAGCACCATAAACTTTTCAAAGAGTAGTTTTCAAATATAAAAAGTGGTTAGGAGACCTCTTGAAGCCATAGGACTTAGATTAACCCTTTACACCCTAACATCAGTATGTACATTCTCCTTACTGTTCTCTTTACATTTCCTAATGTGCTGGCAAGGAGAATTTTTTTAACAATCAAGAGGTTCTTCAGTTGATTATCATTTCCATTATTCTCATGACCTGAAAGTTTGATTCAGGGATGATATTGAAAGGAGAAATTAGATGCTAGTCACTCTTCAGGATTAAAGTGTCCAGGAAGTCCCCTTAAAGAGACTATAAATTATGAGTTAATTATTTTTGTTAGGTGGAAATACTGAGGAGCATGACAGATCCTGACTGGTTGTCAATTTTGCTGTTGTGGTTTTTTTTGTGTGTGTGTTATATTTCATCAAGGGATTGTAGGTGAAAATGAAACTGAAGAGCATGACAAATTCTGACTGATCATTTTGATTTTTCATTTGTTGATTCTTTTTGTTGTTGTTGTTGTTTTTTTGAGTTTATTTTATCAGGGAACTGTATGCATAGAAGAAGAATGGAGTTATACAGAATCTTGCCATTAGTCTTGTCAAGTAATGACTTTAGATTCAAGAGAACCAGTCGAGTTTCAAACCCTGTCTCGACTGACTTTGTGTGACTGATTCCTTAACAAGAAAATTACATGCATAGGTTACCATAGTTATTGCAAGGCCTTGTTCTTTCATGTATAAATTGCAGATAGGTTTGCTGAACCGGTTATATGTGTTATGCAAGTTAATTAGTACATTTAGAATTTTGAAGCAGAAACCATTCATGCTGGTCAATTCTGCAAGGCAGTTGTGCTGGGCATGTCTGTCTAAAGTACAGAAAATTATATGTAATGTTTAAAAGCTATTTTCCTATTTATAGCTGTCATACCTCCAAAAAGTGGACGATCGTCAACTGGCAGCCGTCCCACAGGCAATCAAGTCTATCGCACCAGCTCCACAAACTCAGCATCTGTAATTCTTGAAGGACTTCCTGATTTTAAGCCACGAGAGCCACAGTATGTGGTGTACCTGTGGGGCGGTGGCATCAGATCACCAGCCAAACTGATGCTTCCACAGCATGACTCTGATGTGGTTCAGGTAGCCATAGGCAGGGCACTGAAAACAGGGGTCTCCAAAAGTGGACGCATGATAATCTGGGATTCCAATAAAAAGGCAGTGGATGTTTCTTCAGATGGAGCTGAGAAGGGAAGATTGTTAGAAGATATGTGGGTACCAAGGTTCCTGGAGGGGCAGTCTGGAGTGACAATAGTTGAAGTATCCTGTGGGGATTTCTTCGTGGCTTGCTTGACAGGTGAAGTGTTTAATGACCCTCAGTGTCAGGTCCAAGCTTTTGCTAGTGATTTCTTGTGTAATTAGTGTTTATTTATTTTGTTCTTTATCTTTTTTTTATACCTCCATGTTAGTGTCTTTTGTCAAGTTTCTTTGCATTTTTCTTGGTCAGTTACAACCTTTCACATGTTTCTTACACTGCACGTTTTTTTTGCAGTCCTCTTGTATTGAAAGCCAGAGTCTTTTACAAATAGTTACTTTTCAAGTCAGTTTACCTAAAGTTGTGCTTGGCGCAGTTCTCTATTTTAGAAGTTGATTTTCCAGCCATATATTAGGGGTTATCAATGAAAGTATTTTTTTAGTTTTGCTTCATTTTTATCCATTTTTGTTGGCAGTCTCTTTATCTTAATCAGTTAACTATTTATATTTCTAGTTTCAACCTACCACTACCATTGCTCTGTAAAATAAAAGTATTTCAAGTTGAAAAGATAATGCTTTTGCGATTACACCCAGACCAGAGAGGTGATTGTGGGAATTGATATCGTGCAGAAACTAAGTCCACCTTACTAAATGGTGATTTGTGTTTCAGAATAATGTTTTTTTATACCTACATGTTCATGATCACTTCTTGCACTAAGAGCGATTAATTGCTGTTTGGGCTGTTGTATCTGAATGGCCCTTCCTTTCAACTTCATTGAATTGTCTTTTAAAACCCTTTGACTCCCAAGATCTGATTGCCTATTCTCCCCTATTGCTGCTAAGCATGAAAGTTTTTAGTAATTATGTAGTATGGATACACAATAGATTAGACAGGTTCACACGACACCAATATTTTTCAATATTTTTGGGTGCAGTGCAAAATGTTTGTTATTTTAACCCTTTGTTTACTTTGTGTAAAATACTGTGAGTTAAGTTTTCAGACCTAAGCAGGTTTAAAAACCTGTACTGTTGACCAAAATTGTAACAACACATCACACAGTAACACCAAAATCAATCAATTTTGATTGACTTGTTTTTGTCTCAACACGTCCTCCCTGATGCAGCGTTAGCGGCTCAGTTATAAAAGTTCTCTAATGTCCCTTGTGTTTATCCTTAGCCAAGTATTACATGTGTTATGTTTATGACAACAAGAGAAAGAGATGCTTTTAAGAGAAAATGGAATTGTCATTTTATGAAGTACTAATGAAATCATGGATTTGTTTTTAGATCGTGGAATCCTCATGACATTTGGAAATGGTATGCATGGTGCATTAGGGCATGGAAATCACAATGATGTTGGTCAGGCCAAAATTGTGGAACAGTTAATTGGATTTGAAGTTAAGCAGGTAAGAAATATTCTACACCCATCAAAAATAAACAAACAAATAACATGAAATGCATAAACAAAGCATGGTATTGAAACAAAATCATTTCTGGAACATTTTTAATGAAATATGAGGCCTGTATGTTATACTATCTTCATGATGAAAATTATTACAATGTTTCACTTGTCCACCTTTGCAGTGTAGCAGTTGTTTTTGTTTCCTTTGTTTTTCTCCTCTTCATCATTTTTCCCCAAGAATAATTGACCACAATTATGTCTCACTCTATTTGCCATGATAATTTGCGCCTTGGTGGTACATGATGGTACATCTATAAGGTTTATAAAACATTTATACACTCGCTCTTTGTGGCCATTGATAAACTGACCTGAGTTGCCTCAAAGATAGTTCGCTTGGAATTCCAACTCATTCTTTGACAAAAATGGTATTCAACCGCTACATTAGGTTTCCTTGTAACCAATAGTGAACTCTTATGGTGGTTATCAGTATTTTATGTCAAAATTTTATTTTGTGTGTACTGTGCTTGTGTGCAATAACTTTCGGAACCGTACCTTTTTACCACAGATTTACTCGGTTGTAAATATGTTGTCAAAAAGTGCCCCTTATTATTACGTCAGCTGTTTGCTAAGTGTTACATAATTAAGTAATCTTCATACCGTATATGTAGGTGTCCTGTGGTGCTTCCCATGTCATGGTCGTCACGGCTGACCGAGAACTCTTCTCTTGGGGACGGGGTGACAACGGACGTTTGGGGCTTGGAAACCAGCAGTCGTTCTCTCTCCCTCAACCTGTCAGTCTTGAACCTGGTTTCACTGCCAAACAGGTCAAATGCGGCGTAGACTGCTCTTTTGTGCTGACATTGAACAACAGGCTGTTAGCTTGCGGTAGTAACAGATGCAACAAGCTAGCGCTAGACACTGAAGACCAATCCGTGGACGAGTCACATATACTGAGACCCATCACTTCCCTGCCTGTGATGGCCGAGCCTGTCAAGGCTGTCACCATGGGAACGTCACACACTGCGGTGCTAACGGACAGCGGTAAATGCCTGACATTCGGTTCCAATTCATTTGGCCAGCTCGGTTATGAACGCGAGGGAAGTTGCCGAGAGCCTAGAGTAGTTAAAGCTTTGGAAAACAAGAAGCTTACGTTTGTTTCTTGCGGAGACACTTTTACAGTTGCAGTAAGCAGTGATGGAGAAGTGTTTTCGTGGGGGAAGGGTGCTAGAGGGCGGCTGGGATTGCAGACGGACGAAGACTGTGCCACACCCATGACTGTTACTTTATCAACGAAACTGAAAGTCTTGTCTGTGTCGTGTAGCCACAGTACTACCTTGATGTGCGGGCAGGTGCTTTGAGTAACAAAGCCCTTCTGATAGCTTGATTTCGGTGAGGCTCATTACTCGCTCTTTTCCAATTCCATGCAGCCTAACTAGTAAGGTTTCGATTTCGACACCTTGGTTACCTTTACTTGAGTTGAACTCACACTCGCACTGGGCTTAATATACACCTGCATGAGTACTATGTTAAGCTGAGACAACTACTACTATACGTACTATGTTACGCAAAGAGACAACCTCACAAATACTTGAGACATGTATTTTTCAAAGTTATTCAAAGGAGACTACACACTAGTTCGGTAAATCAGGAAGGAATGCAAATAACTGTAGACTAGAAATATAATTAAATATTATTATTAATTATAAGAACGCAACGCAAATGATGAAGTTGAAAAACTCTGCCCCCTCTCTTTGCTTGTAATCCCTGAAATGTGAAAACTACAACGTTGCTCTTTGTAAGTTCGAACTTTTTTTCATTTTGGTGGTAGGAAGAACAGGTTATATGTACAATTTTCAAAGAGTACTCGTAGCTACGTGCAAGATTATGTGTTCAAACCTTTTTTCTCCGATGGAATTTAGGCCAAAGTTGTGACTTTATCCCCGTGTTGTTCATTCATAGAGTCAGTTCATCCCTGTTGTTGAGGTACACACATAGATTGTATGTTCTGTTATAGGATTTCTTGAACTACGTTAGCTCGAGAATGAGCTGAAGTTATTCAAGTTGAAGAGAAATATTCCTCGTTTCTAAAAATTGATGTCAAGCTTCACTTTATCAATCGAATACTGCAATAAAAGTTTCTCTATCATTTGATTTTCTTTTAATCCTTTCATTGGCTAGAAACCCACCTGGTAATTTTCAAATGAGCGATTCTCAAATACTGAAAAAAAGGTAAAATTTCTTCCAAAAAGATTTTGAAAAAGACCGCAAAAATTGGTAGAGCACGTGAAACGAGGTCGACGGGGAAAATAGGGGGGGGGAAGGTTGGAGACAAACAGTGCAAATCATACCTCAAGGCTGAGGTTAAAAACCTCTCAAAAAAGGGACTAAAATCATTCTCTTTCCTCGTAGTCGGCACGCTAGTTGAACGGGAGAAACTTCAATTTAAGGTTGAAGAGTTTTCATAGGGTGAAATCACAGCGCATCAGCTGAGCTTGTCAAGCTTATTAGGAAGTAATAGGCGAAAAAAGTTTTGAATTGTCCAAAGATTATACAACTGGTATAATCCAAGACGGCTGCCTAATCGGGTAAATTTTAATGGGTCAATGACTTTTAAGAAAAATAAAAATACAGTGTTCTAGCCTGTTGCATGAGTTCAGTTAGAGGAACGAATCGCGATAGTAGCGGCGGACCGTAAAAGGGAGAGAGGCTTGGGTCTGATGAACTCAACCCTCCCTCGACTTTTCCCTCCTCCTTTATTACTGCGCTACGTTTTAATAACTGAATGATTGGAACAGGCCAATAGTGTTCGAAATTAAGTAGAGGTAAAAGAATATAAAGACATAACGAATCACTGCTACATTTCACGTCATCGACGAACACGCGAAGAATGATGAGAACGGCGTTCTACCTTTAAGCTATAAATTGTCCCAAATACTGCGTATGCGAGTTTGATCTGTTGGTAGGAATATCCCATATTTAGCATCACCCCAATTTAAATCCGTCCAGTTGTCTGACTAATTAACTATATGACCGTATTTAATGGGATCTTTTCTATAGTAAGTGTCCCATTTTCGAAACCAAACAAAGACAACACCATTTACTGTGATGATGATGTGTAGCGTTTATCCCTAAGCGCGAAGCACATCGCCGACCCTGTCTCGCATGGCAACTGGTTAGTGACGATTGATGACCGTTCCTCTCCCCATGGTGGGTAGTTTGAGGAGGTGATCGCATTCAGAGCGGTTGAAGGGACATTAACAGAAATGAAACTGAATGGGGGAGGGTGAGGCATAATAGCAGTGCACACCCTTGTTAGGATATCCTTTCTAAACTGTCTCAACAATTTATCAATTTCAGTTCACCAGCGAAGATTAATGAACCATTTTAGCTCCAAAGTGAACACATAGATTCTTCTCAGTGAGTTTACGTGCATTTTCCTATGACAGCAATTAACTGAGAGAATCATTGTTGAAGGTTGCAGCCAGTACTCTTTACTAATCATGATCAGTTCCTTCTTTCTCAAGACCTCTACCTGCCGAGATGTAATAGTATTGTGAGGAGAATTTTAAGCTGATCTCTTACGAGCTTCAAAGGATGACAACCCGATTTGATTTGTACTAAAGTCTTCTGTTAAACGCTGATTTTTTTTCCTTCTTTTTTTATCGAAGTTGTGTCATCCTCAGGCATAATTCAATACACGTAGCAAAAAAGGATATCATTAACACTATGAAAAGAAACTCCTTAATTCGTCGTGATCCAGTCTCTGTCATAAAAACAAAGTAAGCTACATTACAAACACAAAATCTGCTGCTTTAGAAGAAATAAATAGATAAATAAAACATGACTGATCAGAAGCCGCGTGTTGTTATTCAAACTCAATACAAAGCAATTGTGATCATGAATTTTAATAATTTTCATTTACTGATTTCGTGCATAATTCATAAGCAACGAATTGCCCTGGGGTCTTCATTTGACGGTCGCTCGGCTGATTTATGTTCCTTTTACTGTATCGACAACACTTTGCGCGAAAAAATCGAAATTCCTGTTAAAGCTACATCGCCACAAAGCTAAGTTAGATACTTCGCCAAGGGCTGCAGCGAGGATAATTTGTAAGTTAGTGATTACAATCATGGATAATCTCCTGTTTGACTACGATCACCCGACTCTTCGAGTTCTCTTCGTTTCGACGATAATCATACTGGGACTGTTGATTATAAACGATTTGATTCCTTGGGGTCCGCTGGGCCGTCGTACAAGACACAGGGAAAGCAACCTTGTTCTGATCATTCTTGCAATACTCGCGTTGGCAGTGGAGTGGACAGTTTACATGTTTTTGTAAGTCAGAACGAATTAAGCTTATGGAACTGTGGTCTTCGATCTAACATCAATCGCCTAACGGCCACTCAGATTCGATTTTCTGTTTTTTTAAGAGAGCTCTCTACATTTCTGCGATACCAGCTCATATTCGCTCTCGCGGAGCATTACGACAGATTCAGAATTTTCGATCGATGTTACATTCAAGAGAACGAAGGGAAAGTAAGCTGATGTTTTAATTTAATTTAGCGATGCCATCTAGGACGTGGAATTATTCGACATTATAATCCCAACTGAACAGAAACGGTAAGAATTGCAGAGACTGAGACATAAAAAAGAACCAAAGAAAGATCGGATAAGAAATAGAGATGGTTGCCAGCTGAATTGGCCATGTGGACGATTTGAATATTTAAATGCTGTCATGTTTCGTCACATTTGACTTGCAAATAAAGAACTGAACTCAAATATAGTGAAATCACGCGGCTCCGTCTAAGGGGGTATTGACATCGCACCTCGGTGACTTTTCAACCATCCTAACAGGGCGATTTCATCCAGGTTGCCTCTTGTGGCTTTGCAATTCTTTACATGTATGGCATCTTAAAAAAATCTTAAACTGCCATGAGTCATTCTTCCTGTGTTCTAAGCAAGGATGTCATTCCGCAATGAAATCTCACAACAGCACCACGTAATACAGTGATTACAAATTATTTGAACTTAGAGGTAAAATTTGATCGTCTAGTCTTGGGTATGGTATGGTACCGTATGGTATGGTATGGTACCGTAGAAACTCAGTACCATACCAACACCATATGAACAACTTCTTCACGACATTTACGCTTCAAAAGAACCAAGCAAAATGACCCAACAAATTTCAACAAAATTTAATGTTCCTCAGAACGATAAGTTATGATAAGTTATATGATATTTTGTGGACAATTCAACAATATTTTTTATAAATCAACAAAGGGGGGAAAGTGTCCGTAAAGAGACTGTGGTGCTGCGTCGGTGGGAGATATAACAGGGTAATTTGGTATTATCAACTGAGTTGATAACGTAAAATTGGCCACCGTAAAGAGTTCCAAAGCTGACGTTTCGAGTTTGAGCCCTTCGTCATTTGTTCTGACGAATGGGTAATGCTCGAAACGTCAGCTTTGTAACTGTCTCTTTACGGTGGCCAATTTAACGTTATCAACTCAGTCGATAATACCAAATTACCTGGTAACATTTTTCATATCCATTATTTTTTTCCTTTTCTTTTAAATTTTCGGAGCACTCCTGGTAGTCGAGATTCTCTTTTTGTGGGCTGTGAGCCACATTTACCGTTTGTTCTCCAATAGAGATATTCAAGGGGCAACCCACTCAATGTAGATGTCTCCTCTGGGAACAAGAATGGGTCGCTTGAAGTATACTGACTACTTGCTCTCGTGACAACTACGTTGTTTACCTGCATGTAAAGATCACGATTGAATATTGGATCACTTTCTCCAGGTCTGTGAGATCCAACAGGTTCTTTTTTGTTTGTAGTGGACGAATTTTTCTTTGATTTTCCTCGACAACATTTGCCTGAATTATCGCCCTTTTTTCCTTGAAGTTTATGTTCTACATCGATATTGCCGGCCAAATTTTCCCGCGCCTCTGACTTATTTTCATTACGACAACATGGCGCATCATCTGGTGTCGTTTGAGCGCCTCTGAATGAAATTCTTTGTCTGAAAGCTTTCCATGTAGCGATAATCTTGGACGAAAAAGACGAATTCAATGCAATTTCCGAGGTATTAGTCGTATTATCATCGTTGACACAGTTATCGACTCCCATCCAAGTTGTTTTCCTCATAAAATTTTCATTCAGCCGAGCACATGATGCGAAGCTCTGTAAAGCGTGAGCGCTAGTTTGTTTTTGTAACAAACTGTCTTTGGTCTCGGAGAAAGCTAAGACAATATGATCATTTGAGGTTTCATCCGGCTGGCCTTCGGAAATTTCAGTAATGGGACATAGCCCCCTAGCACAACCGGCCCTAGAGGGTCCTTGCCTGGCCGAGGGTAAAACTGCGGGCGCGATTTTCTTTCTTCTGAACCAATACTTGATTCCGCGGTTCCTAACTCCATTTACATCATAATGCTTTTGTCTTGGGCCCTCACTGTGAGACATACATTGAGGTTTCCGGCGAATTTCCTCATCTTCGACTGCAATCGTATCAAGTTGTTGGACTCGCGTTTCATGTTCATGATTTTGAAGACCAAAGGCTTCCTTTAACCCGCACGTGATAAAACACAAGAAATAGTAGAGCTTTGATGAAAGCATGTTGTAAATACCTCTCAGTTTCTTCTGATAAATCTCAGGTGCAGGTAGTTTCTATCAAATGCGGCAATGGCTTCATTACATAGGTCATAATAAGGCTTACGTCACCACTCCTTCCGCGCGCAAAAGTTAGAGCCACGTGACTGATCACCTCTATTCGTTGTTCTTTCTTCTTTTTTGTTCGCTTTTTTGTTTGTTTGTTTTTTTTTTAAAGAAGCCTAAGGAGCTTATACTTTTGCTACGAATCCAGTTTGAAATGTAAGGTTAATCAAAATAGAGACAACATCCGAAGTATATTTTAAATCAACCGCATTTTAAGTGATGGGTATTATGTCAAAAAGAAATGTGCTAAGCATTATTCACTATACGTTTATCAAGAACAATAGATTATAATCTATTCTCGAGTGTGATGTCTTAAACTGCCGTAGTAATCAAGCAATAGTAAAGGTCAAAACGGCTTCATCAATTTTTCTGACTTTACCAGAGCGGTTAAGTTGAAAAAGTTGTTTACTTGATTAATGGCTATCAAACCAGTTAGGAAAAAATGAAAAACAGATGTAATCCAAGCGGATGTCGCCACTTTGCATACGGTGATGAGCGCGCTCGAGAGAGAATTACCCTCCCGACGGCACATAATTTCTATCTCCGCCGCGAAAACTTGTACAAAAAAATTTACTTCTAATCGCGTTGAAGAGATTTCTAAGAGTGCTCAACTTTTACCTGTCAGGTAAGTAAACTAGCGCGTACTCTGTCGAGAAAATGCGTTTAGTTGCAGGACTGTACAGTGGTGTGACAACCTTATCCTGGCAAGAGACATCTTGTTGCCATTAGGGATATTTCCCCTTGTTAAAAAAGGGGATTACGACATTTTCGCCGCCAGTAAGCTGCCAGCTTACTGGCCAGACATACCAAAGTTACATCATGTGAAAATTACATCGATGACCACAGTTTCCATCTGATAAGTCCAAAACCTCCATCCATTCATAAACATCAACGAAAAATTGCATTAAAATCCTAAATTTTTTTCTTAGCTCCTCCCTCTGTCATGAAGTTTTAGCCTTCGATCGATGAAAAATTTTCCCCTGTCTAGATTTTGATCAGCCCTTATTATTTTGGATACCATCAAATTTTTCTGTTTTTCTTTATTTGTATACTCGATAACCGGCCCGGGGCAGGAGGCCATTAATAGGCTCCTGCCCGGTGGCGTAAAGGGAGAAGAACGTCCTCATGACTAACCAATCAGAGCGTGCGTAATATTAGCCCCAGTGCTGAGCCAAGGAGTAAAATTAAATACAAAAAAGAAGTCAGTGATCTAGCTCTGATTAATAAACAGAAGTAAACATTTGACGCGGGAGTATGTTCTGTCCGCGGACGTTATCTAATCCGCGAAGTGAGGAGTTTAACCAAAGCGATCGCATGTCACTACTGAACGTTATACTGTAAAGGAAACTTACATCGGTATCAAATTGATCACCTTTTATTAACTTAGTTACGAAGTTTTCTTTGGCCAGGTAGCTGTTGCAGCCGTGCAAATTCTATATAAATTAAGAAAAAATTAACAATATTCTTCTAGCTGGGGCGCGTATTTTATCTCTGATCATATATTTGTCTAGATAAATATTTACACATTATTTCATAATTGAATTTGCATTGACCTAAATAATCGAAAAACCATATCAAATAATATCGAATATCGAATAACCATTTATCCAAGGGAAATTTTGTTCTTTGCAATAAGTTTTAAATTTAAGTTGTCGTTCTGGAGGTATATTTATTCTTAGGCGAGCCCAACAACAAGCAGGAAACGTATTCATTTTGCAATCAACCTTCTGCAGGAGCCCATGGGCTTCTGCCTTCCGTTACCATTTCGGTAATTTACAAAAAGGAAGACTTCATATCACTTAGTTGCGACCACGGAGCCAAGAATTGTCATAAGTGTTGTCAGTGTTTTTCTTTAACGCTACCCGTGTTCTCTTAGCAACACGAATGGTCTCCATCTTTGATATTTGATAACGCGGTAAACAAATCTTTCCATACTCGACGCAAACAAATCCATGTGGACAACAGGTTCTTTTATTCGGGCAACAAACAGCCTTTGGTAAAGGACAGCATCCATACGGCACTCCAAGAGCAAGACAACATGTTTGATTATCACGACAATATTGCTTATCGGAACATTTAATTGTCTGGATATCTACTACCTGAGATGTCTGAAATGAAGATACAAACAACTGGTAATTTACATGTTAGCTGGATCATATCCGTATTTTAATTGGCTCGAACTTATGATCTATTGGAAGACAGACACATAGATGACGTCAAAAATTGGCTTTTTTATCATTTGACACAAATTCCATGTTTGCGAGGATCTGTGCAGTAATAGACCGCACAGGGCGTAAACATGTGATAAGAACATCAGTGACACTCTGCTGGTCTTCCTGTGCCATTGTTTTGTTCTTACCACTTTTTAACGTTATTGGCGATCTATTGCTGAACAGACCCACGGCAACATGCAATCTATTTGTTAAATAGAACTTAGTACACAAAATCAAGGGAAACGAAAAATCTGGGGTTACAAATAAAAGTTATCAGAAAACTGTTTCATTAATGTAAAACTCAACGACAGAAAATTGTAATAGACAGACATTAAGGGATCAGTCATTTATCGCGGGAAGAGGGGGAGGAGGGGGTGGAGGATTTTGATTGTGTCACGATCGACTAAAAATTGACCTGATCCTCCCAAAAAAACTCTGCAGTATTTTTATGACCCCCGCCTTTAATCAATTCATTGGCAGATAATTGGCAGTTAAGTTTCTATAGCCCTTCATTTATACTTCGTTAACGACGACTGATCCTCTCTCGTTTCTCCATAAAAACTGTAAAAAAATCCATTTATGAAAAATGAGGTTTGAGTCCAAACTCCGCAGAAAATTTATTAAATTTGTGAAATGAAACACAAGATTTGGCTAAAAAAAACTTCAAAACAAAGGGGTAACAAAAACAAAAACAACCATCAAAAGTACGCAAAAAATGTCTACGTTACTTTTCCAGTGTGAAGGTTAGAGTTCTTTGACGAATACAAAGAATACAAATGAAGGAGAGGAAGAGAAAAATTGTAATTTGAAATTAAAAAACGAAAGAGATTTTCTACAAAAACCATGTGATCCCCAAAACATACCCCCCCCCCCCCCCACCCCGGCAAAAATATCATGACTGGGTTCTAAGTATCTTACATGAGGAGCAAATTTAAAACAGTGATTTTTATTTTATTATAGTTATATTTAACAACGCAGATGCCGATTGATTTAATCAACATATACTGTTAAAATGATAACACAAAATCGTTTGCAAACCTACGGATGTAAATCTTGATGGCATCTTCAGGAGTGAAGGTGTCTTCGATTCCTCGGCATGTGAAAAAGCCACAAAACTGCACAACACCGCTGAAATAACGTACCACTTCATCTGCTCATTAAAGAAAAGGAAGTAAACTCAGAAAGTTACGAATTCAGCTTACTCTCCTGCCGAGAGATCATAAGGGGACAGAGGAGACTTCTGGTCCAGGCCTTGGGATATGTCAATTTTACTTAAGTTATTTATGGATAGTCGTAGCTGGACCACCCTTTGCGTGTGATGATATATGAGACTAACTATTGACAATCAATAACGTTTAAGAAATTTGTCAAAAACAACCAAAATTACGAATCCGTTTTTTCTTGTACAACCCTCATTAAATAAAATAAAATATTCCATTTTCTGATCCGTATGCTGCGAGGCGTGAGTCACGTTTCGCTGAATCCGAAACGAGTGTTATGACTTTGTTTTCATGCACATGTCATGCATCGATTTTCGTTTCACATATGGCCTTATGGCATCCGTCCTCTTTCAGTGAGCTTTGGTCACCTGTGAGTTAGATTGATGTATTGGGGAACAGCTATGATATTTTTCATATTAATATCAAACTGACTTCGGCAAAAAGAAACTACTTTAGGAAACCAGGATGCTTTCCATCTCAAGCTAAAAATAACTTAACTGAAATCGACAAATCCTGGCCAACGCCCTTATTTTCCATCTCTGTTCCCCTATAACCTCTTGCTCATACACAATAATGCTTACAAATGCGCAATCACTGTCCTCCTTCGAAAGATCTTAATAAATACTATTCCTAAATCCAAGTGTAGACGTCAGGGTCCACAAGCAAATTTTAATGAGAATCAATTCAAGATTTTTTAGGAAAGAAGTTAAAAAGAACTTAAAAAAAGTGATCTGGATTTCGTTTTGTATCAAAGTAAACTGATGTGGTGACCCTGACAAAGTCCTAAAAGCTATGTGATCGTGCTATCTTAAAATACTCGCAGCGGTTTCCATCCACGACTATATATGGCTCCTATCATTCTGTTACTCAAGCCCAAAATAAATCGAAAAAATTGTAGTTTTAGTTAGATCCTTTATGCCAATAACATATAATTTTTCAAATTGTAAAATCCAACCCTTTTCTAAAATCGAAAAAGTAAAATGACTTACATTACCACTCTGCTGCTTTCTCTCACGGTGGTTACACTAATACTAATTTTGAATACTAACTGTGGAGAGAAAACACCTATATTATCTATATTTGTAATGAGACTCATGATTCCTCGTGACAATAAGATGACCAGGTGCACGTGCCCCTCATCCATTTCGAATGGATGAAATCATCAGTTAAATTAGACCAAAACCTAATGCCTTTTATTTGTCTCGTACCTTCGTGACTCTGACGGTGAAAATGTTGCCTTGAAATTTCGGTTGTCTTGTACCTTTAGTACATGTATACATCAAAATACAAAAGCTAATGGCCAGAGCACATACGGGCCAAATGTCTACGCAAGTAACAAAGTAAAAGTTAGGTACCTGCCCAACAATTTCGTGGTGGTTTCGTTGAGTCCCTTCATGTTGCTTCCAGCTGCTGCATCTTCTACTTCCTCTGCTAGTCTTTCTAAGAAGCTGCGTTTGTCCGGCTTGACACTTTTCTTTACTTCTTTGTTGATCGCGGTGTATTCTTGGAAAGATGCCACCTCCAATGACTATGTTGTGAAGAGCACAGGTGTCAGAAAATATCAGTTTCCCCGCTTTCATTTATTTTTCTAAGTCCGTGTGTTCCCATCGCTTCTGTGTGGCTAGTATTGCCTGCCCCAATCTTTGCATTGAAGTCTCCCATGACTATGTTGACGTCCTTTTCTGACAGCTGTTTAACGATGCACTCTAGCCTGTTGTGAAACTGGTCTTTACTTCCTTCTTCGCTATCGTCTATCGTTGGTTGGTGCGTAGCACTGTGCGACATTCATCTTGATCTGGCTCATCCCGGTTCTGAAGGATGCTGATGGGTGCTCTTTGTGCTGACGTTAGTCTTTTCTGTCAGGACTGCTTCCAGTGGGTTTCGCTAATTCCTAAAACGGAAAGCTGACATTCTTTCATCTCTACTGCAACCTGTGCGGTCTTCCCCACCTACATGGTTTTTATGTTCCATGTACTAATCTTTATGGCCCTGTTTGAGAGAAAGAGGACCGGCCCTACGGCTTCCGTGAAATTACGGCTTTCACCACATGGCTTCATATGTCTTCTTTATGAAGGAACTTCTTCTTCCAGGGATGAAGTTTGAACCTGTATTGACGTTTCTGTAGCAGTATGGTTTTTCCCAGGGTGGGGTTGCTGACCCCACACCTAACCGGCAAGTGGCTCAAAAGAGCCACTGGGTGGATCCTAAAATAAGTCAATTGTCTGTGAACTCATTCCACGCGCGAAAGAAGACACTTGGTTTGCGGGACATGATTCTGCGGGACCTGAGCTAAAGGTCTTTGTTTCGGTATCAAGAAGAAAAATTTCACCTTATTAGCTAAACAACAAGGCATAACAGTTTGAGAGGAACGCGTGACAAACCAATTGAAATATCACAGGGATCCCTAGGTAGCCTACGTGTAGTCGTACCCTCCCTCTCCCCCTCCCCTAAGGTGGGGGAGGGGAGGGGGGTACAGCTACACGCAAGGTACGGCTAAGCACGGATCATCGCCAGAGTTTCTTTATCAACGCCACCTCGAAGTTAGTGACCAAGTTAGAGGCCACACGTGATTGATTGATTGATTCAACACTCCAATAGAATCTCCAAACTTTCAGGTCTTAGTTCGCAAATGGAAATGTTAGATCATGGATTTTCGGTGAAACTTTCCAGAGCTCTAGCTTTTTGCGACCGCAAAATTGCAATCCTATCGAGGACGTTTGTGCGAATTTCCTTAATTTAATTAGGCTTCATTACCAGCTGCTGAGTCCGCAGAGACCACGCTCGAGGTCCTCGAGAGCGCAGCTGTTAATTTAAGGAGATACTAGAAGATGCGAATGCCAAGTCCATGGTATTCATAAATCCTGTCATGAAATTATTGTAGTTTACTCTGTATGCTCCACTTCTCACCACCGTATCGGATCGATAAGAGTTTTAATAACTGGGATATGAAAAGTTATCGATTTTGTCATTTTTACATGCGGTTTTCGGTTTTGATCGAATTTTTTTTCGGTTTTTCGGTTTTGGATAATTTTTTTCTACGGTTTTGCGGTTTCTAATGGGCCCCAAAGCCTCCCTCTTGTATCAAAGTAGATGAAACAAGGGCAGTCTAAGACTTTCATATCCACCTCCAATTCGCCAGTCTGTGGCTCCAATGCACTTGGCTGAGGTCTTTTTTAACATCTCAGCTACGTCAAATGCCATTTCCTTTAAAGGCCTCTGACAGTGGATTGTCCCCTTTAGGGGCAACCAGCCGAAAATCAAATCCTTACTTTCTGGTCACAAATGACCACAGAGTGCCGTGATGACAACGTTGCTTTATAGAGGCAAAATGGAGCGCCATCTTGGAGTACGACGAAGAATCCTTGGTAGTCTCCTTCAAATAAAGTGAAGTGAAATATCTCGCCATTGGTTCTTTTACATATTTTCAGAAGTTTTTAATTTTCATTGCCATTGAAGCGATTGTCATCTCAGATATCATCAATCACCTCGGCCTTTATCACTTATCGGTAATCTTTTTAAAAACGAAAATCTGATCATTTCGAGGCAAATCGACAGGGTTATAGTTTTGAATACATCCCTTGCAGCAGGGAAGTAAACTTGTAGGTTTTAAAGCTGCCCCTTTTCGAGATAAATTATAAGAAAGTTTACTTACCTTTGGACGCTGCTGCTTTTCCGCAGCTTAGAAAACAACACCTGCGTCATTGGCTGAACGAAAACTCGTGACTCCTCGTGACAATAAGGTGACTGTGCTCTCGTGATTATCAGTCCTAGATTAGATTTATTTCGTTCTTGTTCATTCATCATTGCAATGTCAGAGGAAAAAAAGGGCCAATTTTCGTATTTTCCGACTTGAAAACAGAATAGCTACCATCAGAGATGTGTAGTAATTTGTTGATTTCTTTATTCATATGTTCATGTATGTATCATGTCTATTATTAAATTTATTTTGATATTTATGGGTCGCTTTATGAGAGTTTACTGACTGTTACGTGGTCTCGAAAGAGAACTGGATACAAAGTTAGTTCTCAGAAGATGAGCAAGAAGTCGGCCTGTTCACTTCCTTTGCCAGGAACTTCTCGAGGTATTGCGCACGCAAGATGACAAAAATAGCACTTTACAACATCACCCTGAATCCCACATTAAGGTTTCGAAAATAAAGAAAATTGGTCACCAACTAAAGAAGCACTTGATTTTAAACAAATCCCCCCCTCAGCACCTTAGGAAATGTAAAGAGAACAGTATGGAGAATATGCATACTGAAGTTAAGGTGTAAAGGGTCGACAGGGGGCCAACTTAATTTACACAATTCATGATGATACTAGTATTAAACCTCAAAAGCGTTACATGGCATGCTCCTTAGTGCAAGCACTTCAGGGACATGGAGAACTCCCGGCTATACTAGGACTAATTTCACCGAATTACTGGTGCATTAAGATAGGATATTGAGCTTAAAATTTGTATTGCAAGTGTAGGGCTAGTAAAATCTTGGGAAATCAAAAATTAAAGCAGTGTGGAGAATTTTTAGACTCGTCATCGATTTATTTTTGGCGCATCAGATCATGCTTTTTGCATGAGACGAATTAAGCCTTTCGAAAAAGACAAAAAACTAACCAAGAAGAGAAGGCACTTCACAAAATAGACAATGTAGTTCCTCGAAGAGGATAATTGTCTCATTTGTTAACAACTGAGCTGAAAATGTAAATTAGCCACCGTAAAGAGTTTTAAGACTGACTTTTCGAGCGTTAACCCTTCGTCAGAGCGATCGGAGGAATTGTGGGTTGTGTGTGGGTTTACATGCAGAAAATGGACCTACTTCTCGTCACCATATTCCCACCAATAGAGCAGTTCCATTTTCTGCATATAAACCCATCAACAACCCACAATTCCTCCAATCGCTCTGACGAAGGGTTAACCGGCTCGCAACGTCAGCCTTTAAACTCTTTGCGATGGCTCATTTACGTTTTCAGCTCAGTTGTTAACACTAAATTACAATGTATAACCTAATCTGAGTGCAACGATAGAAAAAATTTGCCTTTGGGCGCTTGAATTACAGGTTACGTATTTACTTTGACTGTTGCGTATAGAAAAAGGACTACTTCATGAGTTGCTGCTTTTAAATTACACCTTCCTTGGCTGTATTGCAACGACACAAATAAAACAAAAATTAGGGAGCTGCACAGCACCAACCTTGAGTAATACAGCTCAGTCTACGATGAATTTAATGCTTCAAGACTGTAGTTAGACGCGTTCATGCGGATCCACCGAAATGACAGACGTTCGAGTCCTTTGAACCTCCAATCATGATAAGATTTAATACGTCGTGCAACTTTCTGTGCCTATTCAACAAGTATCTATTGTGACACTTCGGTAAAGCCTCGATTGCAACTCTGTTCACCTTGCTTTTATAACATTCCCGATCTAAACATCTGGTTTTGTATCATGGAGAATGGTGCATCAGAAACCATACCAAACCCTTTCAGAGGCGGTCTCCTCACGGGGATGGCTCTAACTTTCCCAAACAGTGATGTTCAGGGGTTTGAACTTCCTTAAATGCAGCGCCTACATGATATGCATATATCTGTGAGTCAAGTACCCATCGTGTGGCTGGAGTGACGAAAGGGCTCGTCTATTCAAGAGATATATACCCTTCTATATGGACTATTTTACCTCACGACTACATTAGTCTAGCTTTGGCTGTAATTCTTCTTTTCAGAGATATGTTTCAATCCATCGTAAGTTTCGACGTCTTTGTGGAAGTTCTGGTTCCAAACGTAGCAGTGAGTTTTGACTTGAAAGAAACCACACTGAGCATCTTTTCTCAGCTAAATAATCAGCCGATGGTCGTCTATCACTCAAGCTTTGTGGGCTGGATGCCGCACCGTGGGGACTTAGAGAGGGCCTCCTAATTCTTTGAAAGGTAATGAGTTCCTTAAACCCTCTTCGAAAGCGCGGATTTCGCGCGCCTATTATGATAGGATTACACACGCTGTACAGAAATCCGCAGATGTAGGCGAAACGTAAAAAATGTTGTGGAATCTGACTGGCGTCTGCAAAAAGAGTCAAGATTCCGTACGCGAAAAATGGCGTCCAACAAGCAACAAATGCTGCTAAAACAAACAAAAGGGTGATAATAATCTTTTTCTGTGCTAAGATACCTCGATCATCGATGATAGCGGTGTCACGGATCCGTTTACAATGCAACTTCACCGCCTCTATAATCCTCCAATATAACAATATCATTGCTAAGATGGGAATTGTGTAGACCACGGATATCAGAAAGACCGTATGTGAAATGTCCAATGCACTGCGCGGAAATCGAGGACCACACATATTTGATGATGATTTGTACACGATTTTAGTCCATCCAAAAATGGGACCTATGGAACACGCTAGCGCCGAGACCCATACCACAAGAATGATCATCAGAGAGCGTCTTTGTGTTATTATCATTTTCAAAGGCTTAACAATAGAGAAGTACTTGTGTATACTTATGGCTGTAAGCGTGAAGATGGACGAAGCAAACCAGAAAGGTACCACGAACCCGTTGAACTGACACAGTGGCTTGCCAAACACCCAGCCGTGTTTGAGGAGTGTTACTATCATGAATGGTATACAGAATAAACAAACTCCTATCCCTGTGATCGCAAGCTGCGTCAGAAAAAGGTTTGTCCGTGTCCGCATTTGGCGATTGGAAATAACAACGCCAACCACGAGGCCATTTCCGATCAAGCCAGCTACAAGAGTCAGGAACAAAATTGCTAGTTGAAAAAAGACAAGATTGTCATAATTCGCCTTTTCATCGTAGCTGTTGATAGTGGAATTGTTCTCTGCTATACTTGTTTGAACTGTCTTCTGCTGATTGAGGGATTTCGCTTCCATTATCACTCGATTCACAGCGTATCATGCGATTCTCAAAAAACTTCGACGCTTATTGAATAGAAAAAGATCTATTATGATTTCTAAACTTAATGGCAAGGTGCGCTGATTACAAGAACCGAAATGTGAGGTAACTTGCGCAATACAAGTTTGCGCTTGTCTGTGTAATCGCATTCAAACCATTTTATTTTCACAAAACAGAATCACTTAGAACGCCGGCTTGTTAAACAAACTTTTATCTTTTTGTGTACACACCGCCAGCTATTGACATGAGAATAAAAGAAGAACTGAAAGCAACGCGTTGAATGAGCAATTAGCACAATAAGGTCCTAACCTCCTCGGTCATTTGAAAGTGAATAATAGGAAAGACCTGAAAATAATTATCTTTTATCCATCTTATCAAGTAACATTATCGTTCAATAGCCAATATCGTTCAAAGATCTTCATTAAAGCAAGATTCAATAATTCGCATAGATTTTTTTTGTCTGCAACAGAATTAAACATATTATCATTAATTATCATACACTCAGCAACTGAGTATCTTTTGTTGATTAAAAAAAATGTATATCATTCCAATATTACATACACTTCACCATGTAAGGGATATCGGAACGCGAAAACTATGCCTCGGTATTACACTGTAGAACAAGGCAAAAATACTGACGGAAGGCGGAGCAACAAAAAAGCCACACTAAATTGTCTCTGTATTTTATTCCATTTGTAGGCTTTTCTATTAAATAGGGCCGTCGGGTGTTTTTCGTTACTCATAAAAAACACTTCAATGTTGTCGCTGGTGTTGTTTTTGTTTTTCGCGCACGGCTTATGCGATCTTTAAGATGTTTAGGATGTATTTCGAAACGCAGAAGCCATTATACTGGAAAATAAAATAACAGTGAAACAATCAACTTCCTTTCAATAATTTCACATTTGATACGAGCAGAAATTTTGCTCATTGTTCGTTTTTTAACTCATCACTACTGGGCTCGGAAAATTACTACGCAACTCGCAAAATATCTGCGCGAATAATTCATTACATCATCGAATAAGGTGAAGATATTTCATTGGTACTGATTGGTCATTCGCTGTACAGATTTTCATTATCATCATCATTATTATTATCATCCTGGAGCCCCCGAGCTATAACCTCAAATATCACGTTATGCTTAGCAATATGAAATTCTTGATTCAGGCTGTTCAGAGACGTTTTTGACGGTTATGGTCGAATACACAGTTCCTTTGCTTATTCGTCATAAACAAAATGGTCGGAGGCCGCTTAGTGACGAGTGCACTGACGTAAAAAGAAAAAAAAAAGAAAAGAAAAAAAAAAAGAGCACGCGAGCGACGAGTGTTAAAAATCGAACGCACGTGCTTTCTACAGCTTTTGACGAGAACTGCTTTGTGTGACTCGTCATGCAGAGTCGATTGATCAATCACAGTTGGAAACAAATAGCTGATTGAATCGCTTTATTGATAAGTATGAAAAATATAAAAAAAGCTTTTTAGTTTTTAACCTCGCAGCTATTGTAAGAAGTTGGGTTAAAAATCAGGGTACAACGTTCAAAGTCTACGCGTGACACGCATGCGGCTCTATGTCACGCAAGTACCGTTGAATAGGTGCTTTACGTAAGCAACAGCTTTTGTGTCTGGTCTCAAAAAAAAAAAATCCAGACAGTGTGTATTGAATTCGAAATGATTTCCAATTTCTTGCCTCGTGAGGACGGAATGCATCTGGGATATTCTCTGTGTGTGAGGATTGAATGATGGATTTTCTGTCGCTCTCGTTGGGTAAGTTCCTTGACCTTGCTTCAATTTTAAAATCTTTTCTCACGTGGCGTTTGAACTATATTGTAAGCCGGTAAATGGATGAAAAGCTGAGTCATGAAACTTCGCACACTCGACAAAATTCGAAAGAATGATGTGATATTTTTAATTAATTTTGGTTCGTTATTTGCCTATTCTTATCACGAATAACGGTTTTGTCTTTAGATTGATATAATCTTTTCGCCTGAACTGAAAAGCAGTTATTTCTTCGTCGATTCGTTACGTAAGGAGCGTCTGATATTGAACCTTCAACCAACATTGGCAAGAGTTTATGAAGGACTTAGGCACTAGGCTTGTAAATAAGCTTATAGCGGAAACATTTTAAAATTCAACCATCTGGATCGATAATTTTTAAGCCAATTTACGATGCACGGCTGCGATACTTATTTCAGTGCCATTAACTAGCATTAGAGAAGCGAATTCAAAATAACTGTTACCTAATAAAATTGATTTAGCTGTACAGGAAAATTGAAATCATACGGTATATGTTTAACCCCTGAACACTCACCGAAGGTAAATTTATGCTCTCAAAATTTCTCTTCATCCGGCAAGCAGAATATTTTTTTAGTTTTCACGGTATTTGACTTTCTCGAAATGTTATGTAAAAATATGTTGTAGTTCCTGTCTCTTCGAAGTCGGAAGTGTAAGATATACTAGATTCACAGACAGGATGGAGAGAGAATTTAATGTATCGTGTTTTAACCGACGTCGAAGCTTTACAATGGTTTGCATAAATGCCACGTTTCGATGTTGCAACTTGTAAGAAACTTGACGTCCTGCTAAGCAATTCTTCAAGTCTAATTCCATACTGTGATGTCGAAACCACGATCCATCTTATAGCTGTGGGTTTAAGACAGTTGTTTGAGACCCGTATATTATAACAAGCAATTGAATCCAATGAGAAGTTTCTCTTTGTAAACAACTCAGTATGGTAACTTTTTTCCCACACAGCAAACTATGAATACTCGAACTCACTGTTTATTTTACTGAATATCTACTTGCAAGTTCACAAAATAGGATTGCCAATACTCATTTAACGTAACTTCCTTGTTTAACCAGTATAGATATATTTTAAGCCAGCAATAAAGATATGCAAAATGAAACTTTTGCTAATTATTAATAACAATATACATTGACAAAAGCTAGCTCTCTCACTGAGCTCGCAACAACTTTTAACACAACAAGACAAGAACATTATCCATCATGACCATTCCAAGATGGCGGCTGAAAAACGAAATCACTTCATGTTCAAACCAAACAGGACAGCCATAGCAACACCCAAATACGAATCCTCCATAAGGTAATTTTACAGAGCTTCATCTAGTCATATCATTTTTTAACTGAGAAGATGTGATTTAAAATTTGAAAAACTTACGGACATTTATTTGAGTATAGGTGAATGACCGTTGGTATATGTCCGCAAACTTACGGGCTCACGTGAAATATGAACAAGTTGATGCCTTCAATTTGCAAGATGCATGAGTCAAATTCACTTGAAATTTTCATTACGAACTATTTGAGCCATGTCATTACTTTTCATGAGGATTATCTTGGCTTTACTGTGATGTTTGATTTTGATCGCCATTTTGGAGGCGGTTTTCTTTGCATTAAGGTAACTCCAGAACTAGGGTGATTAACCTAGCGAGCGTCACTTTCTCTTGCTGTGAGTCGACAGAATTTGACAACCTTTTGTTGAAAATTATATTTATTATGTAGCTAGGATAGTTATGTTCACTATTCTAAAAGAATCATGCTCTGGACATGAATGATCTCGTTTATTTTTATGAAGCGAAGCAAGAGAGTGGCACTTCATGCCGAACCTTTTATGGTATTGACAACACCCACTTTTAGTAGCTTTTGGTAACCTTTTCCTCTTGTGGTGTCAAATCCTTCGTGATCGTTTGGTAATTCCATATCATTTCGGCGTGAATATTTTCTCTCGTTTAGTCCGGGATATAATAGTGGACAAGAATGTCTTTAGACACCTGTCCGATGCATTTTCGATCAAGCCGGCCGATTTAGCGGGCTTTTGTTCCTGGCTAGTGAACCTAAACCGGCCCAACTTTCATCTATCAAGAAAAATTATCTCGCGGAACTTTGTTTGACACTCACTGTGATTGATAAAGCTTTGTGTAGCATTTCGTTACCGTGGCAAGTTGGCTGACTTTCGAAAAAGGTAAACATATTGTAATCCAAAATACTTGATCAACATCAAACACTGCGTTGTTTGGAAGCGTGACTGCCGATGTTGGATCTGAAAGATCGAGATTTATCGATCATTTTTGAGAACATAAATATTTATGGTAGCTAAGACTTGTCACCAAGTCATTTCTTACATAAAAACATTGTAATGTAATCCGAAACGCACTGAACGACTTTATTTAAAAAATGTTCATTTCAAAATACTTTGGTTTAGAGGTAACAAATCCAGTTTGGTGAGGTTCTGTCGACAATTTATTGCAAACCTGATAATATTTTTTTCAAACAAAAGAACTGACATATTAGTAAAATCTTTCAAAAAGTTTTATCCGAACCCCCCGTGCTTAATCCTGGATCCGCCTCAGTCCTATTCAAGTCTGTTGTTCAATGCTCTTAAATCTGTGACCCTTGAAGCAAAAGCTACTGAGCAGAATCTTTAACTCCGCAAAAGACGGAGGTAGTTACAGTGTCGGCTCGATCTTGCGTTTTGTGATAGCAATAGTAATATAAAGTTGTTGTATTAAGATACTTAAGAAAAAAGCAACTTGACAAATAAAAAAGCTTATTTTTCAAGAAGAGCATGATAGCAAACCCTACAACTAATTGGTGGTTAGTGGCAACCCTACAATGTGATTGGTTCTTTGTGGCAAACCCAACAATGTGACTGGTTCTTAGTGGCAAACCCTACAATGTGATTAGTTCTTGGTGGCAAACCCTACAATGTGATTGGTTATTAGTGGCAAACCCTACAATCTGATTGGTTATTAGTGGCAAACCCTACAATCTGATTGGTTCTTAGCAGCAAACGCTACAATCTGATTGGTCCTTGGTAGCAATCTCTACAATCTGATTGGTTCTTTCCTCCCTATTTACGCGCACAGTCAAACGCCCCAATGTTATCTTCATTTACTTTACTAGCGCACAAGTGAATCCCAATAAATCATAATGAATTTTTTATAGTTTGTTCGGCGCTTAAGGGTGTC